CCTCTTCCCAGTAGGATCGTGATGCGAGTCCACATCGAAGCGATCGGCGGGGATTCTCCGGTGTACGTCCAGTCCAGCTTCAAGGAGATCCCAGAACTTCTCTGTATCCGTGGCACCACCTGGCATGCGACAGGACATGCCGACGATCGCAATCTTCGACTGCATGGAGCTTCCGGGCGAGTACTGTCCGTGGTCGACGTCGGTCCCGACCCACGCCAGAAGGTCGTCGGAATCAACAGGGAGATCCGTCATGGCGGACGTCAACGCAGTCGACAGCTGCTGGGCTGGAAGAGAGTGACGGAAGACCTTGATGTTGACATCGTGGACGTCGGTCTTAGCCACCCGCTCTGCAACACCACGAATAACATTGTCCCACACGATTTGCTTGGTTAGAACTTCGAAGATCACCTGCTCAAACAGCTCTGCAGCACTGGAGGCAAGAAACGGCTGGCCGGAGCTGGTGGACATGACGGGCACGACGGGCTTGTATCGTGCCGGTAGCGAAGGCGATCGGACGACTGCCTGTGCGTCTTCACGCGTGTAGAGATGCGCTGCATGGCATAGCCCTCCATAGACCGGGAGGTGCGCAAATTTGCGATCGCGAAACGAGGCGTAATTGCGGAAGAGCGCCTTGAGCCGAGATGGGGGTCCGCTCACAGTGACCGAGGTTTCGCTGATCGCACTGACAAAGATCTTGCTGGCTGATGGGGTCCGCTCCTTGGCTTGGATGTCATCCAGCTCTGTCTGAGCCTCGTCGACTGTCATTCCATGGACAACGTATGCCCATGACTCGGAAGACTCCGCATCAACGGCCTCTAGGTTATGCGAGACGTCGGCCACGAACACGCCAAGGCGAAAGGCAATGCGCAGGACCTCCACGCCAGCCATGACTGCATCGTCCAGGGATGTGGAGACTGAAACGGCTGTCGAGACCAGTATACCCACTCCCAAGCCAGTCAGTAAGCTGTTGGTCTCTGTTGCCCGGTCCTCTGGATAGAGCTCGCAGTGCCTGATCAATTAGTCTAGCACAGGAAGAATCAAAGGGAATGAGAGGCGTACCCGATGTACATCCCCAGCTGCAGCACACAGAGCAGCACTCCATCGATAGATTGAGCAAGCGGTCCCTTGCGTAGCTTTGTCTCACCAGCCAAGGTCGTCACGGACTCGAAAGCAGGAACCAGCTGCCCCAGTTCCACGCGTAGCTGGCTGACCTCATTTCGCAGCACCCTCGTGGCTTCGCTCAAGAACCGAGCCAAGATGGGATGACTGCTGTGCTTGCTATGACTGTGTAACCGGCGCAGAAGGGTCGAAAGGTCATCTGTGGGAAACTCATTGCTGAAGTACAGGACCTTAAGTTTGTTGGGTAGGTCTTGCGCGTCTGCCGGGGGGGTATAGGTTACCATGTCGAATGAGGCTGTTGAGGACGACGACGAGGGAGCCGACATGCCCTTGCTACCTGTACAAGCGGCAGCAAATTTGTAAGTGTAGGGAGGTGGAGGGTAGATATCAGGCAAAAGAAGAGTGGAGAGTGTCTAGCGCGCACCAAAATGCAAAGGAGAGTGAATCAAACTGATTGATAATGGAGCCACATCGACTTGGATTGCCAGGATAAATAGTCCAGTCACTCCATGTATCTCCATGTACTTGCCACCACATAGACTAGCAGCAGAGACAAATAGCCCGACTCCCGAGTCGGGATCCGGACAACGGAATACGCAGACGCAGCACCCCCGACGGGTTATACAAATGAATCTTGGGAATTTCCGGTCTGAATTTTCGATAACGCTTCCAAGCCAGACCAGACCATCGCATCCCAAGATCAAAATGGGTGAAGGAGGCTACCGACAGATCAATAAGACCCTGAACGCCTGCGCGTTCGATGACTATCTCGTCACCCAGCAGTCACGACTGCCCAAACTTCTGGATATCGAACAGCTCAGTCCGCGGGTGCTTCGAGTCCTTGGCCAGAATGCGGGAAAGGTATGCCCCTCACCGACCCCCCCGCGAGATGATCGAACCTAATGGCCGGTGAAGTTCACGTTGCAAGGCACGAATACCTATATCGTGGGCACAGGCCAGCACCGCCTTCTCATCGACACCGCACAGGGCTACCGTGAATGGGCCGATTTGATCGACGTCACACTCTCGAACCGATCGATCTCATTGTCCCATGTGTTCCTCACCCATTGGCACGGCGACCATACCGGCGGCGTTCCGGATCTCATCCGGATGTATCCCCACTTGGTGGATGGTATTTACAAGAACTCGCCCGAGCAGGGCCAACACCCCATCGAGGAAGGCCAAATCTTCAAAGTCGAAGGTGCGACCCTCCGCGCAGTTCACGGACCAGGCCACTCGCACGACCACATGTGCTTTGTCCTTGAGGAGGAAAACGCCATGTTCACGGGCGACAATGTCCTTGGCCACGGCACGAGCGCCGTCGAGCAGCTGGGCCTCTACATGGACACTCTCCGGAAGCTGCAGGCTCAAGGATGTAGGACGGGCTATCCCGCCCACGGTGCCGTCATTCCCGACCTCAATCTCAAGATCGCCACCGAACTGGCGCAGAAGACCCGTCGGGAAAAGCAGTGTCTTGCTGCGCTGGGTCGGATCCGGAAGGAGAGGTCCACGGGGCAGTTGGCTAGTGTTACTGTTGGTGAGCTTATTGACGTAGTTCATGGCACTCGGGTGAATGAGGAAGTACGGAAAATGGCATTAGAACCGTTCATGGAGGAAGTCTTGAGGAAGCTGGCAGAGGATGGAAAGGTGGCATTCCGGGTGAGGAAGGGGGTCAAGACTTGGTTTGCTCTTACTTGACTTTGTTGCCTTGACTTTTGCATTCTTTCACCGAGGCTGAGAGCATTGTTGTATGATCCAGTATAATTATTCGACTCTCAGTCGTGTTGAGAAGGTTGACAGCCCCGCCTGGGACGTGTATCCTACCGATAGCTACAAACCATGCCTACGCAGTGTGACAATCGTAAAGTTTGTGCATCAGTGCAATGAAGCTTTATTGGCTATCGAGCTCTAGAGACAAACTATCTAAGCAGCACCACCATCAATTCCAAGAACCTTCCCATTCACCCATTCGCTCTCGCTCGAGGCCAAGAAGCACACTACCTTGGCGATATCGACGGGATACCCGCACCGGGTCAAAGGCGAGACATGAGCCACAATCTATACTGTTAGTCTCTGTGAACAAAATGGCGCGTCTTGACGAAACTCACATCCAGGATCTGCTCTTTGGATAGCTTGTCCGCGTTGGGCAGATAGTCCTTGGCCGTCTCATGGAACATATCGGTGACGGTGCCGCCGGGGGCAACCGCATTGACGGTGATCTTCTTGTCGCCACAGTCTTTGGCCAGGCAGCGGACAAAGGTGTTGATGGCCGCCTTGGACGCGGAGTAGAGCGAGTGCTTTGGCACGGTGAACGAGTCGGCCGTGTTGGAGCTCATCAGAATGATCCGGCCATTCTGGTTCAAGTGCTTGTACGCTTCGCGGGCGACGAAGAACTGGCCGCGGGTGTTGACGCTGAAGACGCGATCAAACTCTTCCTCGGTGACCTCACTCAGGTGTCCGAATGAGACGACGCCGGCGTTGGAGCAGACGATGTCAATACCGCCGAACACCTTGACGGCTTCCTCAAACAGCTGGACGGTTTGGGGCACCTGGCTGACGTCGGCCTGGAGAGCGACGGCGTCGGACCCCAGGGATTTGATCTCCTCGACCACTTGGTTGGCGGGTCCGGCGGATTTGCTGTAGTTGACGATGACCTTTGCGCCGCATCGGCCCAGCTCGACAGCCATCGCGGCGCCGATGCCGCGGCCGGATCCGGTCACCAGGGCGACTTTGCCATCGAGCCGGTAGGGGATGTACGAGATAGAACCCATTTTCAGAGTGTTGTGAGTTGTGAGCTTCGCAAGAGCAACGGCACGACGAAGGATATCCTTTTGGAAGTGTATCTTGCACCGTCGTGAATCAAGTGTACGGGTTGAACAAGATATTTGTTCCCAGTCAGGGCTATTTTTCCTTTTCCGAATGCCGTCCGTCGAGGTGTCCGGGTCGTGAAATCCCCCGTTATTGCCCGACCCCGTTTTCCGACTCCACAAGATGTCCATCCATTTCGACGATTCTGCGTTCTTTGTCTGTTGTCGCCTGGTTGCATTCACGGTTGAACTTCGCCTCCCATTGCCTCAATCCTACCCAGCGAATATTTTGTCACTACAACCTTCGAGCCCTGAAAATATATTTCCACAACCGAACAACCTGCAGTGCCCTGCAAAACCACATTCACCATCTCTACCACGAATACATCCAATCAATGACCGCCCCAGCTTCCACCCAAGCCGCAACACTGCAGCGGTTCCTCTCAGCCTGGAAGAAATGGGACGCCCAGGAATGGATCTCCACCTTCTCCGACGATTTCCAACAAATCACCCTCCCCCACAGCCTGAACATGCCCGTCCGTACCCGCAAGGAAGTGGAGGTTGTTCTGCCTGCCCTCGTCGCGACGGTGAAGTCCTATCAGGTACGCACTCCGTCGCGGTAGTAGCTACGTTCAGGCGGTCAAGCAATGTTAACTCCGACAGCTGCAAATCCACCACGTCATCCATGATCCCGAAAACAACAAGGCGGCGGTATACGCGGCGTCGACGGGGACGCTTCCGTGGGGGGACTGGAACCTCGAGTACGCGGCTTTCTTGACGTTCACCGACGACGGAGGAAAAGTGGCCCGACTCGAGGAGATGCTCGATACCGCGTTTCTGCAAGAGTTTGGGCCGAAATTCGGGAAGTACCTGGAGGAGAATGGGGGGCCGGGGGCGGTCGCTGCTGGGGGGAAGTAGGACCCGCGGTCGAAAGCTTGATTTTGAATACTATAATGATAAATCGTTTCATTCCTAGAAAATGGTGTGTGGACTCGTGCATCGGGAGTCAAGGTCGTGGTTTCGTAGAAACAGGGCGTATCTCTAAATGCACCAGACACGAAGTCGTCGTTTCGGTGAGGGTTAACGAGGCCGAATTCAGGGCTGGCCTCGGAGGATGTATTGTAAGTTACCGCGGACACGATCAGGTTTACACACCCAGCCAAATAACTGCAGCTGAGAGTAGAATAACTCCAATAATAAACACGTCACATCCAATGACTGTCAGATATCTATCTACCCGTGCTCAAGCCTCCTCCTGCCCCTTAATATACGCCTCCAACTTCGGCAAGAAGCTCTTCATAAACACACCATCAAACATCTCCTCGATCCGGTTCACGGACTCGCCACTCTCATCGAACCACACGAAACACGCGTGCTCGTTCTTGTACGGTCCGAAGGGCGAGTCGGCCGTGGTGATGGCATAGATGACCGCTTTGCTCTCCGCGGGATCATGGATGATGTTGTGTACCGTCAGCTGAATCGGTGTTGATTAGCCCTTCGTGTGCCATTGATTAGCTGGGTGGGCTACTGTACCTGAAAGTTGGTCAGAATGGACATGAGCTTGGGGAAGAGCTTCTCGGTGATGGCCCGAGTGCGAGGCGGGACCCCCGAGCTGAATGGCAGAGTCACTTGCGCGCAGTCGTCGGACCAGCTGGCCAGGAAGCCGTCCGGCGTCCAGCCTTTCCAGCCGTCGATGAATTTGTTTAAGGTGGCGGTTTGGATGGCGGCGGGGGCGGGCATGGTGGTAGCTTTGTCACTGGGCAAACGGTCGGTGGTCTGGGTGGAAGGTAGAATGGGGAGGGAGGTATTGCAAGAAAGTCTTAAGGTGATCGTGATGGCCCATGGACAGTACTCGGGGCATTCAGTCAATCGGGAAGTCGGGCTTGAAGGGCCCGGGGGAGTCGGAATGGCTGGGGGGAATACCCAATGAGCAATTACCCGAAAGCACGCTTCAGGAAGATCGTTGCAGTTGAAGAAACACAGAGAAAAGCGGGAATGCTATCATGAAACTAGTCATTCACTGATTTTCTTGGTCAGATGGGAATGGGGACATCGTAGGGTCCATTTTGAGACACATTACGTATACTTGGGGATACGGCTGGATGCTTCAAGCTTCAATAATCAAATTCAGCACAACATCACGGTTCCAGTCTGGAACTATCGCCTCGTAGCTAAGATAACCTTCGCAGGCCAAGTTCCCTTGACCTCAGCGTCCCCAATGATCTCTTCCATCTCCTGCCACAACTCCCCGAAATGCGGATCTTCCCTCGCAAACGGAAACGACAAGACATGCTCCTTCACACCCTCAAGCCCAGTCACAAAGCTCCACCCATCCTCCTGCACAAAGGTCTCGACATCGTCTACGCCCGTATAGACAGGCTCGTGGACCTGCACCTCCGGCGGCAAGGGCGCCGTGATGCCGCCGTTCTCCATGTTGAGGTGAACGCGCTGGGCCCGGGGCAGAAACAGCCGCTCATCCAATGGGGCGACATTGTACTGGCCCTGGGTGCGGGCCATGACGGCAACCAGCTTCTCCGGATCATCGGCCTTGGCCAGCAGGGCGCGGCCGCCGGAATGGTTGATGCGAGTGTAGACGTCCTGGATGCGGGGGTCCTCGAACTGCGCCGCGCCAAAGGCCGCGCAGGCAAAGGTGCCCCCGGGCCGGAGCTGGCGCGCGATCTCGCTCATCGCGAGCGGCTGGTCGCAGAAATGCAGGACGTTGGTCGCGAAGACCATGTCCACGCTGCCGGGGGCGATGTCGTCGCCCTCTTCGACCCGGGCTGCGCGGTAGCTGAACCCGTCCGTGCCCAAACGATCCTCGGCGAGGATCACGTTCTCCTGCGCGATGTCGGAGATGATGACATGCTGGAACTTGGAGCGCAGGATGTGTGCGTAGGGCCCGTTGCCGGCGCCGACATCGTGCACCGTCCCGAACTGGCCGCCGTGGGATTGGTGGTAGTGGAAGAGGCGCTGGAAGAAGGCGTCGGGCGCGGAGGGGCGGCCTTTGAGGTAGTTGTTCCAGAAGGCTTGGCCTTTGTCGAAAAGTTTGTCATTCGAGTCAAAGGAGGGGACCGTGGCTGTTGCCATGGTGTACGGATGCACTGGGGTTGGCTGGCGGATGGTCCGGTGGTGTACACCACCTTGCCTGCCAAAATATTTAAACCTCCATTGACTCGCCGAGCTTCGGATCTCGGGGTTCGGGGGGTAAGCGCTCGGTGGTAAAGGCCAACTGCATCTATTCTGCATCTGCAAGTGGATTACAAACATAATGTATCACTGTGCATTGTACAAAGGAATCATTATCGGGGTCCCGATTTGGGCCCCTCCCTCTCCGGCCCCTCCAGGCCCAAGTAGCCCTCGATCTCCCTGTGCAATGGTGCAGCGGGGTCATCACCTCCGCAAGCGGTCCACAATAGCCCTTGACAGGTCACAAAGACGCTTCCGCAGATCGGCTTCCAGCGTGTTCACCAAGCCGGGCGAGAAAGGTTTTAAAAACGCATGGATGCCTCCTGCAAGGGGGCCGGTCATGTGCAGCGAGGGGTCACAGGTGTCCGGCGGCTCCTCCCCGGCCGTTTCCGAGATGCGGCGCAGCCGCTGTGCCAGCAGATCAACGGATGCCTGGACGCCTGCGAGCTTGGAGAGGATGCGCTGCACGGCAATGCGCTGTTCATCCTCGCACGCGCAGTCGGTGGAGGAGGGGGGGCCCTGCAGGACGGGCTCGAGTGGGTCCTCGCCTGAGGCAGCCCCCGTGGCCGCGGTGTACCAGGCAATGACCCGGAAAACTACGAGAGACAGGGTGATCAGGAGGTAGCTGTCGTTGGTACAGTTGCATTGCAGAATGCTGCGGACGGTCTCGCTGGTCTGCTCGTTTTGGGCGAGAACGCGTTCGAAATCGGGCAGCGTGGGCGTGGCGGTGGCCCCCGGATCGTTGCCGCACCCCGGATTGCCTGGGGAGAGATCGGCTAGCAGCGCAAGAGCACGAGCCAAGCATTGGCAGGCGGCCGAGGTTGGACGGCTGATCGTCGGTGCTGCATCGATGTGAGGTCGCACTGCAGATGTGGGAGATGTCGGGTGCGTGATGAGCTCCGGTGCAGGGAATGGGCACGTGCGGGTGTCGTCGAGGGTGAAGTCAAAGAAGGTGGCTGCATCGTCTTGCTGTTCTAGAGGAAGTCCTACTGCCGAGGCGAAGAGCTCGTCCAAATCTGGGAAAGAACTCGCGGGGAGTGATGATAGGCAGTTCTCGTCGAGCGATCTCAGGGCTCCGAAGATGTCGGGATACGGCGAGCATTGTCTCTGGAGACCGAGCGACGGGGAGAGCCCACCACCATCCGGGGTGGACGGACTGGTGGTGTCGCTTGCCTGTGCTGAGGTGAATGTCGGACTCGGTGATGCTGTGGCGGTCATGGTCGCTGCCATCGTCAACGCCGAGTCCCTTCGTGCCCTGGTGTGAGTTTTGCCCGATGTACGACCTGCACGCTTTGCAGTGCTATACACGCAGGGGTGATCTCGTTTGGCACACCGAGCACAGCTCGGCTTTTCTTTGGTGCATCCGACTTTGGTCGCCGCGCACAAATCACAGGATTTGCGCAGCTTGGACGAGGCTCGTGAAGATGCGGTCGGCAGTGGTGAAGCCATAGTATGGACTGGCAAAAGGGCAGGGTGATTCAATCGCCGAACGGGAAGTAGAGAATGCGATGAGGGCGTGGTCCCATCTTCTTAACGCTGCGCTATTTACAGCTCTAGCGGACTACAAGCTATGGTGGTATGGTGGCCACAACTTCCCAATCACGAGCTGTGGCTTATGTCGATCCTGTTAATCCCAGCTTGGACCAGTTTCCTGATTTATCAGGCGCAGAAAGAGTACCCAGGAGGCATGATGCTTCTCCTCTGTCGGAGTCACTACGAAAGCAGTCTACTTGATTCGTGTTCATTCATCGATAAAAGCCCTAGTCACAAGTAGCACCACTCCGTCCCAGACTAGCTAGGTATAGGTAGGTACTAGGTACTGTACCTAGTTCCAAAGACAATAGCGATGGCGAAGCTCCAGCCAATGATCGGCGAATGTGACGTGCTGCCGATAATCAATCGGTTCCCTGATCTTATGCTGGCCTCCTATTGCAGGAGTCCCCGATATTAAGGCTTACCGCGCTTGGACCTGTTGATAAGCTCTATTTGAATTGATGCTGACGTGAGATCTTCGCCACTTATGATTAGCCTGAATGTAAGGGAGCAGGGATCAGCGGAGATGGCGTTGGTTTCTCGCCCCAGGAGGATTCTGTCCCCATATTGCCCCCAATCAGTTCCAAGGCTCAGATGCAGGATCGACACCACCCCCGAGTGGTTCTGCATGGTTGCAGGCAGCGACTCTAGACCCTCTAGGCGCCGGTGGGGTAATCTTCTCATAAACACCCCGGTCCCAGCGTGCACAGCTTGGAAGACTCCCCCTATCGTCCTCCTTCGCCATGATTTCATGCCAAAAAGAAGCAAACACCCCGTGGAGACTGCTTTGCTTTTTCGTATGCCGGGATACGTTCTGGGTACAACGCAGAAAATGCTTGGTTCGCACCAAGTCTCGTTCATGCATTGGGCGGAGAAACCCGAAGAGTGGAAAAGCAAGCGCAATTGTTCAGTCATGCACACCACATTTTAGTGCTGACGGACCCTGACGGCGCGTTCCATCTAGCGTTGCAGCGCGTATCGCAGCTTTGCCTGTTTCTTATCCAGCTCCTGCGGATAGAATGTCCGACCGGGGCATTCTCAAAAAATGTCCGGGGATTCTAACTCCCGAGGCTAGGAATGAAGGCAGATACTCTGCAGTCCTGCAGGAAATAGCGCCACTTCACAGTTGTGAATATCCTCTGCAGCCCAGAAAACCCCGCCTTTGGCATGTGGCCCACAGTCATCCTGCCTCGAGCTCATTACAGCATCTGACCAAATACGTTCTTCACGAGCTTGCATGGTCCGAAGGATCTTCCATCTTGCTACAGGCGGGGCATCGTGGCCACCATACGCATAAAGCTGTGAGTCTGGATTTGACGAGCGACCTTCAGCTCATTCCTGTCCAACCTCCCATGACATGGCGTACCTGGCTCAGTTGGAGGCAGCCTCGAGTAATCTTTCGGCAGCACTGGAGGAGCTTGCCTCGCATTACAGGAATGGCGGGACAGACAGTCTGGGTGCTCGACCACCACAGCTGCTACCCACAGAAGCACCTCCAGAGGTCCACAGGGCAAGAGAGTCGGCGTTGGCAAGTCTGACCAGATTGCAAGTCATGCTGGCTGGGCCGACGGATTTGCTGCAGAATCTGGCAGGCCAGGTGGTTACCATTTTTCTCCTCACTGAGATACTGACTAACAAAACGATAGGTGCAATTGCTGGCCTGTATACAATGGCTTGGCGACAGTCAAGTTCCTGCTTGTATTCCGTTGGACGGCACAGCCTTGATCAAGGATGTTTCCAGTCTTATCGGGGTTCCAGAAAGCCAGCTCAGTCGGGTTATCCGAATGGCCACAACCGGGGGATTCCTCCAGGAACCTCAACCAGGCCATGTGTCCCACAGCGAGGTTTCCGCGGCCTTTGTGACAAGACCGTCGTATCTCGACGCAGCCATGTTTTTGGCTGAAACGGCTGCCCCTGCCGCGTTGACCAAAGAGACAGGTATAAAACAGGATTCCGACTCCGATGGGCGGAAGGATGACAGCCCTAGTCTGTCATCCTTCGCCACTGCCAGCGAAGCCCAATTGCCTCGCCTACAGCGGCAGTGGCAGGCCTACCTGCGATATGGAACGGGCCATGTGTGCGACACGGCGACCGATGTCTTGACCTGTCTAGAGGGAATCCGCATGGCCAATGAGTCTGCCGTGGTTGAGGTAATCACTCCCCCCCCCCCCCCATCACCCACCCGAAGCCCGCGTCCATGTCGCTGATCTAAGTCTGGGTGAAGGTCGGCGCACGATCCACAGAACGGGCCATCGCTCTCGCAAACCAATATCCATCGCTCCGCTTTACAGTCCAACTCCAATCCTCCAGACATGACCGACTGCGGACATCGAATCCCAGGATAACCATCTCCCACCGACAGCCAGGATCACCACAACCCATTCTCAACGCCGCACTCTACATCCTCAATTTCCCCATCCCCGTGCCAGGATCCTCACCCGCCTCGGTGGCGACGCACCTCTCGGCTGAGCTTCGCGCACATCTACCTGCGTTGCGGCTGAACCGTTCGGCTACCTTGGTCGTCATTGCTCCCTCGACGTCCGATTCAGATGAAGGGATAAGGCTGACTCGGATCCGCGATCTGTCCTTACTACAACTGGCCAGACAACGCGAGTTGGGGTTGTCCGAAGTGATCAATCTGCTGAACGGAGTCAGCGACGGGGAGGGAAGACTGGTGCTTGTGAATCAGGTGCGATCTGTGGGAAAGTATGGGGTCACGGCGTTGGAGGTGAAGTATCAGCCTCATGAATTGGTGCGATAAGAACTTCTGAGTGTAGCCCTATGGAAGGGAATGAAAGCATTCGTCTCAGACCTACAAAATATGCCCAGTTTCTCTCAACGCCCCTTCAATGCTTGATCAGACTGCCGCGGTTGGAAAAGACCCAATTCAATCCAACGAACTAAAGCTCCATTGCTACTAGTGTCCAGTTATCCCAGATGAGCGATACTTGCCTAAATTCATCCAATGCTATTGCTCTGGGGCGTAAGCACAAAAACAAATTCTTGACCTCTTCCTTGGCACATCCGGAGCCAGAGTGACCGCATTTTTTTCTTTTCATATTCTAGTTCCATCCAGTTCAGGCTTTGAGAGGCAATGATCTGTAAATAGAAAGGGGAATTTGCCGAGGTTCGAGGGGCGCAGATATTGCAAGGGAGCTGCAGGAAGTCGAGAATTGGCTTCAGCGGTGCTAAACAGTCACAACGCAGCCGGAGAAAGCTGTGACTAACTGAAATCACGCTAGTTATCCATTAATTGGGGGGGGAGGGGGGCAGCATTTCCGGCCCGGGCTCAGACACCAATTACTTTCTGCTTTCAGTGGCCTTGGGACTCCTGTCTCCACTCCGCGTACTTTTTGTCGTGTGGTTGGGTTGGCGCGCCCGTGGGAGCGGAGTTTGGGGTCGGTGCCGAGCGGGGGCACACGCCACCGAGAGTCGCCTGGGCAAACATGCTTGATTTCTTCAGTCTGCCCGTCACAGCAGGCGGCGAAGGTGTGGCACCTCGGGCACTAACTGTACCTTGGAATAGGACTCCCGCATGACTGGCCAGCTGCTAAAAGCTACTCCGCGCCCTGTCCCCGCACGTAAAGCTATCTTAGGTAGGCCTGGAATGTGGCAGTCCGACCAGGAGAAATAAAAGATAGTTATCTCCGTGGGCGCCACCGGACTCGGGCTCGAATTGATCTCCGCTGCGCTTCTGCGGGTGACCTCATTTCTCAGTCGGGTTGGATTGTTGCATGGCGCAGTTCATGCCGCGATAAGCAACCGGTCCCAGTCACGAGTCTCGGCATCCGTATATTAAAGAACAATCAGGATTCTAGAGTTTGGGATAGAGTAAATCTGGCAGAAAATGATGGAATGTGACTACACCTTTGTTGGGCTCGCCAGGTAGCTCTCTCAATCAAGGCTCTCCACCGAGAAGCATCGGGTACTTTGATAATGTGAAGGCTCAAATCAGAATCTAGCCCTAAGTCGTGAGCCATCAACCGCTGCCACTGTTAGATAACGAGATTAAATGATGACTTGACCCGACTTCGTATTCAAGAGGGTGTGAAGCATTCCATGCACACTGTTTGTTTTACTACTGGAAGTGCGTAGGCACTGCCGATAATTCACCACCGCGAGATTACGATGCCGACCTTCACTTACGTGTCTCAGGACATGACTTCCGCAAACGCCCGAATGAAGATCAGATTACTGGACCCACCCAACGGATATCTTCAGTATTCAACAGATAATCCCTCAGAACCAGCCCGTACGAGACAAAGCACCCTTGTCCGCGGGCATTTCCACTCGAGCATTACTTGCAGCGGAAGTCGGAAGAGTCGAGATGTTTAGATCACCCCAAAACACAGTATACTCCTGTAAATCCGAGATATTACTCCTCAATTCTGGCTGAGTGGGCTGGTACCTTTCAGTCAATAAATTGTATGACCTTGCCCGAACGGCGATGCCCTGATAGGAAAAGTGAGAGCTTGATGCTATCTGATCATGATAAATCGTCCAACGCCACGGTCCTGTTAGGTATTGGATGATTGGCTGTTCATGCGGTCTTAGATTAAATGGGATACCAAAATATATGCGACGTCATCCACAGACAGCTGGAAGGCGTGGTCTAGACCATCATGCTTCTACGAAATAAGCTGCTGACGATTGACCGGGCCGAATCACTGCGCGCAGCACGGTTGTCGACGGGGCATCAAAATGACGACTACGCGCCTAATCACCTGACCCGGCCAGGATTTCTAAAAACTCATATCGCTATTTGAATATTGGAATTGAACTTTTCTAGCTGGCAATCTCCTATATCTACATCTATACCATTGTATATCTTGCCCGCTTTGAAAAATCATTTCTTCAACCAATCACACCACGACTCGGCTAAATTTGGATATGATTCTTCTCACGTAACTCTTGAATTTGATCTCAGGCCCACACCACCACCAATCAGCGCCCGTCGTGGGCTGTAGTGCACCGGATAGATTATCCTGGAGCGGACTTTGGACGGGCCGCAGGGGGGTCTGTGAGGGGGAGGTTTCCGATGGGGCCCCCCTCTCGAAACTAAAATCTGACAGGCATAAAGCAACTAGGGTATGGATCCACCGCTGCGGTCTCCTCCGAGGCGGTGCCCCAATCACTTTTCGATCACAGGCGTCGAAATTGCGTAATTGATTGAAGAACAAGGGACTGCATTTGGCTGCAGATGGAGAATATGAGCCCGGGTAAAGTGTGATGAAAGACGGACAGAAGCCGCGCTCACATGCTTGCGGGCCATGTTTTTCCAGTGGTTTCTCATCGTCGCAGCATGTTGTGGAATTGACGCCGATAAGAGGGGACATGCTTCCTATCAGGCTGGTAGCGTTATGCACGCCCTATCTCTTCGCGATATTTGTGGGCGTGTAGCATCTGAGTGCAACAAACACATCCTATCCAGTCTATCGCTGAAAGCACAAGCCAGAGCCAGCGCACGAAGAAGTGATGGGCGATGCCGCAACTCGCAGCTGGGACACAGTTGTCCCTTGCCAGATGAATCGAAGTCGCCCCTAATGCGCGTGGCCCGCCATCGACTGCATTCTAAATACCCCTGTTACTACATCTCTGCGCCTTTAAACAAAGTACCAATGTATTGTACGAGGCATGTATCTGCACAGCGCTCGGTGTAGAGATAAGAAATCCGTGTATTGTGCCATACCTGTGTTCGTGGAAGTTCGCTACTTGGTGTCTTCCGAAGCGGTGACCCTCACTTGTGCATTGATGCTTCTTGACTCTGCGGTGCTCCTGTTCGAAGGGGAAGGATGCCGGGCTGTTTCCTACACCTACACTTCACTAGAAAAAGTAATGTATCGCTGTAACATTTTTCCAACAGATTGTGGACCTCTGATCCCCCCCCCCCAAGCACAAGGGCGAATATACCACCTTCTACCGCCCTGGGAGAGACTATCAATTGCACCGCGAAGAAAAAAACAAAGTCAACCTGAAAATTCAATCCGAAGAATCACGTATAATAAACACAGTCTCCTTCACCAAGCTAGCGGGGAACTCCTAGTCCGCACCGCTCCCAGGAATTCCGGACGGATCGTGCCGATCCAGGTGACGATGATGGCCAGTGATTCGCATGGCGCGACCCACCCACTAGGCCTCACCAAAGCCCGAGGCTGTCAAGTCGGGTCGACCCCCAACCCATTTCCTAGCAGGTTTTGGTTTAATTTTTGAATTGTGGATTATATTTGTACTTAGATATATAAAGTAAGATTTCTTAGTAGATATTCGCAGATAAATAAGGATATAAATACTAGAAGCTCCAGTAGATTATAAAATCGACGTTGCATGTGACAATTAAAAATCAGTATCCAAAATGACTGATTATTCAAGATATTCCAACCATGTTACAGGAATAATAAAAACAACAAATATACTAAAGCTAGCTTTCTACAATCTCTATCTTACACAGGATAAGCAGTGGACTTTGATAAGAAAAAGATATATGAATTTAATTAGAAGCTTTAGCTCAGTCCTATAGAAGTTTTCATTATTATTTGTCTAGGTTCACGTCATTGAAACTTTGAAGTTTTGTTACATATGTGTACTGTTTTTCATCGACTATATACATAGACACGACTAGTTAAACCTCTTTCTAACAGCGTAAGTAACCAACTTGACGATAAATATCTTCTGACTGGCCACTCTCCCGTATCAATTCAGTCTGGTGGAAGGAATCTCACGTGTCTGGATCCATTTATCATTTTATCTCTCCTTCTGCCTCTCGTATTGTAGACTCAATCTCAAAATCATAAATCAATCCTTTAAATATAGCCAACTCCCTAGCCAACAGGCTATATGCCGCGCAGACATTCGGATCAGCCCCGGCCTAAAGAAAAAGTTTAATATACTCTACCCATATATAGCCACCAAGTTGGCTGGCAGGGTGGTAAAAATAGGTCTCTATATACATCTAAAGGAGAGTATAGTGTTCTCTATATTCTACATTGAAATGCCTCTCGTCTTCTGAAACGAGCAGAAAGTCAACGCAACCGAAGTAACAGTAGATAAAAAGAAAACAGCAAAGTAGAGCTATCGGAGCTGCACTTTCTCAGCCATAAAACGACCAAATCATCGGCGCTTTTCTTCGTCTGAAGGCAGAGTATTATAAAAAAGACTCCGTCCGCTCTAATCGAGATTTTTCAGATCAGCACCCTTTTGTTCGAACATATGCAACAAGCACAGACTAAGTACATCAACTTCGGCCTCCTCTTCGTCACGGCATCGGGCCACTGCCGAGAGGCGACAAGGCCCGCGGGCTGCAGCCGGTCGACCAAGCGTTGCACGGCGGCTTCACAGCCCCAATATATGGCTGTCTTATCGGCTGTATACAGTCTTCCGTCCTCACCAAGACGCCCTAATTACATACAGCAGAATCCATCGGCTGATACATCATCTTGGCCGGGGTCCGCTTTTGTGTTAAGCAGAAGCTCTCTCCGTCCCGGAGACTTCAACATAACAGCTAAATGCAGCGGCGGCAAACAGATATCACCATACAACTCACAGCATTTCTGGTCGTCATCAGATCCGTGATATTAGATGCCGAGGAATATCGGGGCGGTTGTTGTCGATTGCGATGTGAAAGGGTGTATCGGGAGCTGTGGGCAGATTTACAGAATCTACAGAAGCAAGAAGAGCAGCGATGGCAGACAGGTTGCCTACCCGGGTCCATTCTACAGTTACATGAATAGGTAGTATCTAACAAATTGCAATGCGGTGGAGGAGATAGGCTATAAAGAATGTCCAAAAACAAGATATAATCCCCAAGATGAATCAATATTAATAGGTGTAATCATTGGTCCTTGCAGTGAATTCCAACCACACTATCACCCGGACAAGTCCCTATCTGCCTTACTAGCTACACATGGGTGGCCTAAAAGGCACCCTTCCCTATCTTCCCCAAATCATCTCACCTATGATTCTATCTGGAAAGTTCTCAATTTCGAAATTTAGTCTTCTGGGCCGCGGAACGACTCAGCTCCGCCAAAGACATATTGCCCAGGATCTCAAAGACCGCCACATCCGCCCCGATGCGCTTCCCGAACCAATTGCGCAGCTCGACCGCCACCAAAGAATTGATGCCGTTTGCATGCACCGGCCGATCCACGTCGATCTCCTCCACGGGAAGGCCCAGGATCTGCGCCAGCTTAGCCACGACCCACTGCACGATCTGCGCCGCGGCCACCGCGACGGACGGGCTCGCTCGCAGCACGCTCGCGGCATCCGCACCCGCTCCGGACTTTCCCGCTACTTCTGCCGCGGCCCCAAGGGCTGAGGAAGGGGCGGCGGGATCCGGAGTCGGCAGGTGAGATTCGACGAGGTGGAGGGGCCGGAAATACGGCCGGTGCATCCAGTAGGGCGGGTCGAAGCCCTTGGCCTCCATCGCGGCGGGGCATTCGATGCCCACCACGACCTGCGCTTCGGTGGGCGACGGCCGGGCGGTGGCGGCGTCGCAGTAGTGGGTCAGCAGCGCGTGCAGGTCGGCCGGGGTAACGTCCATGAAGTAGCCCAGACGGCGTAGCGAGTCCAGCATGCCGGCCGTCTCGGCCACGACCCCCTCGCCGACCATCATGCCCAAGTCGATGGCGACGGCTCTCTCCCCGAGCTGCACCCGGTACCGCGCCAGCGCATCCTTGAAGGTGTTCCCGGCGCAGTAGTTGGATTGACTGGGGGCGCCGAGCACCCCGCCGATCGACGAGAGGAGCACGAAGAAATCCATCCCCTTCGGGAGGAGAGCGTGCAGGTTCCATGAGCCGAAGACCTTGGGTCGTGTGCTGATGATGAAGTCCTCGTATGTCATGTTCGTGAATACGGCATCCTGAAGGGTTGGGCTGGGTGAGCGAATGTTTTCTTCTGGGTGGGGGGAGTTTCGAAAAAGAAAAAAGAAAAAAGAAAAGAAACAAAGGGTCGTCGTCACTCACTCTCAGCACCATGGTGCACTGGAGGCATCCTCGGATGGGAGGCAACTTAGAGGCATGCTCCTTCAATACATCGGCGAGTGAATTCGGCTGGATGATATCGCATGTCGGCGCCACCACCGTGACCCCGAGCACACCGAGATCCTGAACCAGCTGGCGCGCCGACTCGGACCGGGCCCCGGAGCGGGATAAAACGAGGAGATTCCGCGCTCCTCGACCTGCCATCCATCAACACATGCTCCGGCCCAGGCCGCCAAAGCCACCTGCAATCACATATGTCGCGTTCGCGTTGAACTGGTATTGTGATTTGTTGCGCATATCAGCCTGCATGGTGGTCAATCCATTGATGAGTTTTGTTGTCTTGGAGAATGTTTTATCAAACAAGAAAAAAAAAAAAAAAAGAGAATTCTCATAGCTGCACTCACCGATACGGACTGCTGTGGGCCTAGATCTAGCACTACCCACCGGATATCTGACTTTTCTGCACGGTTTGTAGGGTTTGGGCAAGCTCCGAAGCCGCGAGGACTTTCAGCGGCGTCACCGGAACCACGGACCCGTCTAGCATAAGCTGTGACAGTTGCCGTAGAAGCTGCTGGACGATCGCGGGTTTCTGGCCATGGAGCTTAGTTACGTCCACGGCAGCAAGGGTGATACACCTGGACGCGGCGTTTCGGAGGAGACAGGGATGGTCATGCGGCCGATTGTTAGAAAAGTCTAAGCTGACCAGCGTGCCAAACGGTGCCAAGGCATCCAGCGATCCTTCCAACTCCTGGCTGTCGAAATTCAAGACCATATCCACCCCTCCTTCTGAGATAGCCTGCCAGATGTCATTGACTATCTCGAGGGCACCCTGGTGCTCGGAAAGGATGAACTCCGGGGAAAGGTTGAATTTTGCTCGCAAGATCTCTCGCTTCTCCTGGCTATGCTCTGTGACGAGGATTTAGCGCCCATGAGCTGAGCAAGCTGCTTAGCCAGCTGACCGACCGCGTTGGCTGCATGGCGCACAAGAACGGAGTCATCGGTCGAGATGCGTCCCAGAGTGCGTAGAGCATAAAGGGCCATCAACCCCGCCGTCGGGAGTGCGGCCGCCTGCACGAAAGAGATCTGCGGCAGCAAGGGAGCCGCAAACGCCACCGGCAGGCGCAGGAACGTGCGGCAGCAGGTGGGATATCGCAGGAAGACGCGGTCGCCGGCCTGGAACCCACTGCGCGAGCCCGCCTGCAGGACCTCCCCAGCACCCTCGGAGAAGATCCCGGTCTTGTCGTCGTCGTCGTCGCCCGGGGCCTGCCCCGAGGCAATGAGATAGTTGGCGTGACCGACCCCACCGCGTGCACGTGCACGAGAATCTCCGACTCGTCCAGATCGCCACGCTGAGGCGTTTCCTCCATCTCTTCAACATTGAGCTGAACCAAGGGGACTGGATGTATATCCCGAAGGATAAGCGCTACTCCCTCAGAGTCGGGCCTCTCGGAGCAAGCATGTGCTACTGCTATCATTGCTGCCACGCAGGTCGCGCATTGAACCCCACAAAACCGATTGACGATGTATCCTTCATGCGCGTTCGCCGTTTCATGCAGTAACAACCTGCGGTCGATGACACGGTCAATTTCTTGGTACCGTTTGCTGCGAATCTCCTCATAGCAGTAGCCGAAACAAAATGACTTGTTCCACAGTTCCACGGCAAATCTCAGTAACCATGTCAATCTATGCCCATGTCAGGTGCGAAGCCTTTTGTCGTTACTTGGAAACCAAAAACCAGCAAATTCAAGGTTGATGGACTGGGATGCTCTGTATAACGTCTAGGGCGGTACTGTTCAAATTGATTTCACTGGCAATACGCTATTGCAATTCTTCGCATTTTGAAAAGCTTCTAAGAGCGTTGATAGTCGTCTCTTTGGCTTGAGGCCGGGGTCTAGTTCAGTCCTGCCGTTTAGGTAAAATCAAAAAAGGTCAACCTTTGCACCGTTTTGCCATCATCTGTACTTTGTTTGCACTGGAGTTCGGTCTGCAACGCGTTGTCCAAAGAAATCAATGATTGTACTAGCCCATCTTCGTTCACCAGCGTGACTGGGATTGTTATTTAGATTCTCGAATCGATCCGGCTGAGCCGAGGGGTCCGAATACCCGACCTCGGAGGCTCACGGGGGTCAACCAAGTTGATCAGCATCGGGTCTTTCTGTTTATTCAAGTATTGAAGCACTTATTTTTGCACATTAGACATGTGTTTTAGATCCTGATCAATATTTGATACATGAAGATTCTTGGGAAGATTAAATCAAGAAATATGATATGAAATATCGACCTTAGCGACCGAATTATCACTCAAACTAGTCGACATTCCCATCCGGCTTCCGCCGTAACCGGACCCGTTGGGGCCGTAAGCTAGGCGGGAGGGGCTTTACCGCAGTGGAGACGAGCACGGAGGGATAAACATGGGAGATGGCTTGGGAGCGTAATGCTCCTTCCAGACGCGCAAGCCAAGGAGGCTAGGATTGGAGCAACAAGAAAGTGGGTTCGGGTTGCATTGCATTAGCCCTAGCCCCCATAAACCTATCTACTTGGTTTCTTTGTCTGTTGACCCATAGAATCCAACTACTCCACATATACTTTAGTTAAGCGACCAGGCCAGCCGATGCACCAACAAGAGATGCAATGTGAACCCCAACCAACTAACTAATAAGCACGTAACAAATTAGCGTCCATTTAGGAGCATATCCATAATCGCACCATCCCCTCACCCCTGTGCAGTCCTTCATATAAAGCAACCGATCAAGCAACAGGCAACCACCCATTCCTCCCCTCAAACCCTCCCTCCCCTCTCATTTCCCCAATAGCTTTCCAACGCTCTTACCCCCAAAGATGCCCACTCAACCCACCATTGTCCTCGTCCACGGCGCCTGGCACACTCCGGCCAACTACGCCCCTTTCATCACCGCCCTCGAGTCGCGGGGCTTCACCGTCCACTGCCCCCACCTGCCCAGCTGCACCAACACCTCCCCACCACCGGCCACCTACCAAGACGACGTGGCCACCGTCCGCAACCTGGTCACCACCCTCGTCAACAACGGCGAGCGCGTCCTCATGATCCTGCACTCCTACGGCGGCGCCATCGGCACCGACGCAGCCCAAGGCCTGGACTGGCCCTCGCGCGCAGCAGCCGGCCAACCAGGCGGGATCATCCACCTCCTCTACCTCTGCGCCTACATCCAACGCCCCGGCCGCACCGTGTGGGACGTGATCACCGAGGCCCAGATGACGGGCTTCTGGCCGCAGTTTGTTCGGGACCACGCGGACGGTTCCACCTTCCCCGTCGACCCCGTCCAGCTGTTCCTAGGGGACTGCGACGAGAAGCAAGTGGCCGCCGCGTTGCCGCATCTCGTGCGCAGTCCGCTGAGCGCCTTCCATACGCAGAGCGTCGGGGATGCGTGGCGGAGGCTGCCGGTGACCTACCTCACCACGACGAAGGATTACTCCGTGCCCCGCGTGTACCAGGATATCATGCTGAAGCATGTCGCAGAGGACGGGGTGACGGTCCGCGTGGTGGAGGTGGATACCGCGCACAGTGTGTTTTTGTCGAGACGCGACGAAGTGCTGCGGTTGGTGGAGGAGGCGGGGCGGGATGAGCGGAATCCTTGATTATGGGTGGTCACGTTTGTGTTGGGTGGTGTTAACTGCAAGTTGAGTTTGTAGGATCGGGGTACGGTTCTTGTCGTGTTGGGGGATACGGCGGGTGGCAGCGAAACCACGGGGGTCTATTGATATACAGTGGGGCGTAATGGATGCGGTAACTAGCACTACGTTATGCTTGATATGCCGCTCTAAATATTGAACCTTATCAAGATATGTATCTTCAACAATCCCCAAAGGATGTTGGATTGATAAGCCACCTGTGGAACAATCACTAGCATTTTGAACATCCATGCCCAGGTTGATAACCTCGATTGAGAAACTATCTTAACTCCATGCCACCAATCTATCATAAAATCATCCTACGAACACATTTATTCGCTTGTACATACTCATCACAGTTTCTGCAGAGCCCATCCATCGGGTTACATGTAATCATCACACCATAACCCTCAAAACGAGAACCCTCTTCTGTCTTCCTTTTCTCAAGCAATCGTCTCTATCGCTACGGCAAAGCGCACACCTTCAAGAATTGACATGTGCAGCTACTTCTCACTGTCAATGTGCTGCGACTCGAAAGACGAACTCCTCCTTGCCTCTGCCCCCTGCCCCGCCCGTTGGCGTCTCACCTCTGTTAGGGCCTTCAGGCCCGTTGGACTCTGGACAAGCAGTCTCCCCCATCTGCGTTCTAGACGGATTCTCGTATAGCATACACAAACGCACTCCGCACACGAGCCCGTTCGTGTTCGATATTCTCCTTCACCGTCAAGGGCCTGGGAGGAGGTCCTCACAAAAAGCACCACTGGCGGTAGGGACCCCCCGGCCACATTCCCGCCTATCTGGCAGTGACCGCAATATCCACCTGACGTTTGATCTTTTAGATCTTATACAAGAATTAGGGGAGCGAAAACCGCTCGATGGGGATGGATCTCGTAGTCACGTCTACTGGTAGTCTAATCCGGGTGGGGTTGTGAAGAGTTGGGGAACTACTTACATGTATGTATGCTTTCAGCTGCATAGCTCGGTTAGGAGCTCCACACCCGACATCGGGTATCCAATCCTAAGATGGGTAGGGAGCGAACATCTGCTCCAGCTAAAGAGTTCTCGAATCCATCCAGGCTGAGCCCCGGGTCCAAGCAAACACGAGGGCTACCGGGCGCACGGTAGCTCAAGATTGAGTTTCTTTGTTCATTGATCTGTACGGTGGCTTTTTAAATTCTTCCACTCGATTCCAAAGATTTGAGGCGATCTTCTCGTACAACGATGGATAGGTTTCAATCCCCCAACACTCTCTGCCAATCAAAACATTGCGTCTTCATCAATAGCCTGGACCAGCACAAACACATACCAAAAAGTCCCCGTCCAGCCAACAAGAAGATTACCTCACAGCGCGTGATGCAGAACCCCGCAAGCCAACCCCATTCCGACCCCCGAGTGCACTATAAAAGCCACCACGAGTACAACTCCGCAGACCGACTACTTACCCAACCTACCATTCCAGTCCCAACCCTATGCATATCAAGCCACAACCTTCCCACCATCACTTGCAACACCCTCTTTGAGAGATCATGAAGCCCACCACAATCCTCCTCGCAACCATCCTCCCCGCCCTAGCCATATCAGCAGCCGCCCCCGACCCCGACCCCGAACCCGAAGCCCCCGATACCGCGCCGGACGTCGATCTCAGCGAAAGAGCGGACGCCAACCCCCCCAAGACATGCAAGATCAACAAGGCGAATCCCCCGGATATCGCCCCATTCTGGGAGCTCCCCTGCGCGTGCACCGGGCGTGCAGGGCAGTGGACCCTCGGGACCGATATCAAGCTTGTCTGCCGGACGGAGGTTGCTGGGACGTAAGTTTTGGAAAAACATCCTTGCCTTTTCCCGTGTCCCCATCCGTCAGGGGGCTTTGGGCTTGGTGCATGGCGCATACTATCCCCAAACGGGGTTCCTCTCCCTCTCAGGGGTACTAATGAGTTCTGGTGATGCTAGGGATTGGTATAAGACCAAATCCGGGTTCTGGGTCCGGAACCTGAAGGCTGGAACGCCCGGACCGGGATGTAAGGGTAAGTAGAGACGATCCACCCACTCCTTCCCGGTCAGCCTAACAAGACCCTCATCTGATCGATTCATCAACAGGCGGGATCCCTGCGGGGCTGCCGAACTGCGATATCTGAACTTGGGTCACAGGGACAGGGACTTCTTCTTCGAGGTCCTTGCCTGCTTGCCCCGGATCCCGGCGGCAGCCACTCACTCACTCACTCACTCACTCACTCACCACAAAATGGAATGCTGGGTCATTTCACCTGATCGGTCAACGCACATGAATGAATGTTATTTTGATAGCGTCAATCCCTCCAAAAGTGACCTACTTTGGTTGCAAGGTTCGGAATTAGGGCACCGTGCTTCAGTCACTTATGCAATATGCGTACTTGCTTGGCAGAATGTTACATCCAGCCCATAAGAGGTATATAATCAAGCCTCGCATCGCATGACATCGCATCTATTCTGCTGTGTGAGATCCCATAGTGTTATCCTCGGTGAACTTGTTCGTTAGCTTGCACGGCAGCCTTTTCTCCCCAGAATGTCCTAAACGCTTGGCATAAACAGGATGATCCCTGATTGTTCTAGCGCCTGTACGAGAAGACTAGCAGCCGAAAGAATTTGAACGCGATAGCGAGTACCATTCGAGAATCCATAGGCAGTCAGTATTTCCAATTCAGAAAGAAGATCGACAGGATGGATTCTAGTCTGCACTACCCAAACCCGGGATAAATCATTATAGTTTATGCGCATATCTCCACGGAGTTATTTCTTCGCCGCACAGTTCCCTGCTGCTTTTAAGTACTGGTCTCCCCAGCTATTTCTCGGCGTGTATCGTGTCATTCTCAAACGGGTGAGGACTGGGGTTGTGGAACTGGTCTGTGAAGCCGGAGATGGATCTCATGGGTATCCTCGTATAGATGCAGGCGGATCAGAGGCAGAAGTGGGTCATGATGGGGAGGATAAGAGGGCGATCCACAGGATTGGAGACAGTCGGATCGAAAGAGAGTGTGTTGTCGGGCTGAACTGGCTGTTTGCGGCTGCTGGACTGCTGGAGCTGATGAGCAACGGTCGCCACTTCGCAAGTTACAACTACGTATAAACTAAGCGAAGTGGTTGCAAAGTCTTCGAAATTGAGCTGACCCGCGATGAATCATTGCTTCTTGTTAAGATCTGCTATGCCCCAACCCTTGTATAATAGATCTAGATCCATCACTCTGGTCAAAAATACCATGTCTCCTCTAATTCAAATCCCAGCATTGAGGCTACCGGATGTAACATAGCGTCAGTCACAGCATTTCACAATTCTAAACACCGATGCAGAAATATGACTTACCACGTTTTGAATCACCACGGTGGTCCCATCCGTCACCTGCGTCCGCACCAACTGCCGCCCATCCGTGGCGGCCGGCACGAATGGGTTAGGGTTGATGACCGGTCTGCCCGCAGTGCCCCCTGTGCACGGCACCACATCGCCCAGCGCCGCCCGGGGAATTCCGTCCGTTAGCCCGGCATCCAGCTTATACTGGTTGGCTGTGTTCAGGAGGTACGTCTTGATTGCTTGGGACATGCTTCCCAGCCCGTTGGCCATGAACTGCGTCCGCAGGTCCGGCTGGGACAGATAGTAGGCGACCATGCCGGCCGTGATGGCGGTCGCCTGGGAGGTGCCCGCCGGCTCGACCGCGTAGACATTCAGCTGCGAGGTGTCCACCCCTTGGTCGTTGTATCCCACAGTCGCGCAGTCGACGTTGGTGCCGATATTGTAAAGGGTGAGAATGCCGCGCTGCTCTTCGTCGCGGGACTGCGAGGTCGGGTTGCGACTGTTATCGAACAGAGCGTTTCCGACGACGATCAGGGGCGTGTCGGCGCCGCCCTTGCCCCGGGGGTACAGGTAGTTGAGATCCAATTGCGCAGGCTCACGTTGCTGGGTTGCATCGTTCCCCGCGCTGCAGATCACCGCAACACCGAGGTCATAGAACCACTGCAGATATTTGTCGAAGACGTCCCGATACGGCTCGTCAAGCGGATTGAGACTTCCGCCCCAGAGGAATGCCTGCCGAGGACCGCCTTTTTCATGAGGTTTTGGTTAGCAGGGAGAAGAAGGGTAGAAATAAGGTACACGAGAGGGAAAGGCAGACTTACCGAAAGACATGGAGATGACGGCGTTGCCCTGGGCGCCATTGTTCACAATATGCCGGTAAATCTCATGGAAGACAAAGGCCGCCCGGCGGGCGCGCATTTCCAGTATCACCCCAGATTTGGATATAACCAGCTCGACAGCGACGAGCCGGGCAGTTTTGCCCATCGAGTGATACGCCCCTGTCGCGAGGGAGGCCATACATGTTCCGTGGCCATTCCGGGGTACGATCGTTAGCCCCGTCTTCCGAGTACCTACGTCGTCCACGCCGAAGCTGTCATATAGCCGGTCGGCAAAGGACTTGATAGGGCAATGTCAGCATATACCGCAGGCTCCGGACATAGCTGTGTGGCTCTCAACTTACCTCATGCCCAGCCAGGAAGGCGGAGTCAATGACATAGACAATGGGCGCGCCGTTGGCGTTCGCATTCGAGGGATCATTGTAAAGCAAGTCGTCGAAGCTCAGATAGTTCCCATACAGGTTGCTGTACCGTGATACCTGAGAAAGCCATTGGAGATGGCCGGGGCTCTGCTGTTGGAGATAGAAGCGACTGTTGGCCGTCGGCTCGATGCGTGCCTGAAGGTGCGGCTGCCTTTCTGTGGCGTTCAGGTTGTCGTTCTTCAACCACGGCTCGTCAAGGGGATTGTTCGTAGAGCCAGGATGCCAGGATCCCGCTGGGGTAGCGCTATACGACCTCTTCTTCGCTGATACCGCGTCATCCAGGGTATCGTCGTTGCTATCCAGGTCAATTTCTCCATCGACACTCCACGCGTCAACGATGGGATTGCTATTGAACATTTCGGCGGTGCATTGATCGACGATTCCCATGTAGACGAACTATAGTCACAATGCCTTGGTAAGTACGAGCCGCGGTAGGTGGGGAGTTCAAAGCGAGAAGCTTACGTTCGGCTGCCACGACTCGGTAAATTGAAGAGCCTCGGGATCTTTTGGCAGGGTTGCGACGAAGTCTTGGAACTCCTGAACAGTTGTTCCTTCCACCGTCATGATAATGACCGGACTCGTGGTAGCTGTAGCGGCACAGGAGGTGGAGGAGGTGGAAGAGGATGTGGTGGAAGTCGCCGTGGTCATCATGGTGGTGGTGGTGGGCATGATGGTCGGTGTCGCGACGGGTGGCGATCCGTTACTTTCGAACAACGCGGCCAGAGTTGCCAAGACGAGGACTATGCGATATATAAATGAGTACTAGGTCCAGAACGGCGGTTCTGACACAAAGGCTTACAGATTCCAGTTGCCGATGCAGCCGCAGAGACAGGGAGTCCGATAGCATTGATCTGTCAAGGTTAGGTCAACATGTTCGTCGTTTGGGAGATATCACGCAGACAGACCGTTATCCTAAGTTGAGAAATACTCGCTGCGGCGTCGATGGCCGGGGCAAGGCCAGCAGCAATGGCATCAGAGAGCTCGACGAGATTGGCATTGATATCACGGATCACCTCGATCATTTGGCTCTGGAGGGCATCCACTAGTGTCCAAAACTGTGAGAATGCTAGCCATGGCCATGAAAGAATCGAACATACCTGCATTATCCCACTCCTCAAACGCATCTTCCGACACGCGCGGATCGTCTTCATCAATGGTATCCAGGCGCCGTCCCAACGTCAGCAACCTGTCACCGTTTGACTTTGCCGCCGACAGACTACTCGACGCCTCATTTGCATCACTCTGATCTCCCATCATCTGCAGCTCAATCTGCTCATACTCACTCTGATCCGCACGCTTCACCTTGGCCGAAGAAGACTGCAACAGACCCTGCAGCGTCTCCAGATGGTTCTGGTATGATTCGAGCACTTGCAGCGCCTGCCAGACACTCGCGTTGTACTGGTGAATGGCGTCTGCCAGCTCCGCGTAGGTGGGATCCTCCCAGGTTCGATCAGCGTAGATCTGCACGCGGTTTCCCCCGCCGCAGGTCTCGCCCGCGTTGCCGGAACAGAGCATGTTGCAGTCGCTGTCCGAGTAGGCTGTTCCGTCGTGGATGGTGTTTCCGACGAAACATTGTCTGGAAGGTTATCGTTAGTCTGTCTACAATATAATGCATGAGGTTTATAGGGACCGTACCTGCTATATTCGACACCCGCGTATCGCCATGCACCGGCTTTGGCGAGGGATACGCAGGCCTCGACCGTCATACCCGTGGCGTCCTCTTTCGAGTCGGCTACCAGAACGCGGGGGCTCTCTTGGTCGGAGTAGCAGCCTAGGAAGGAGAAAGAGTCCACTTGGGTTGGTTGGGTCGGGGTTGAAGAGGCAGATGAGGTGGTCGTGGTCGTGGTGGACCTCGATGTCGTCGAAGTGGAAGAGGTTGAGGAAGTGGTAGTGGTCGTCTTGGAAGTGGTAGAGGTGGAAGTAGTAGTCGTGGTAGACTTGCTAGTTGTAGTCGTGGTGCTTGTGGTGCTTTTCGTGGCAGTACTCGTCGTAGTGGTCGAGGAAGGCACGACCGGCGGCAGAGAGGTCGTCGTACTCGAAGACGTCGTTTTTGTAGTGGTCGTAGTAGTCGACTCAGCACCGCCGACACATTGATTGCTACCACAAGTCTGACCTGGGCTGCAAACGTTGCACGCGGTTCCAATACTGCACTGAATGCTGGGAAAGTCGCAGCAGACTGCGTCAGACGTGTAACAGTTGCCATGGCTGCGCCAAACGTCAGCAAGAAGCCCAGCCTAGATATATTCACAAATAAACCAAAGCTCACCAGCATAGACCACTATCACAGCCAACACCTTGTAGCGTCGTAGGATTCAAAGCACACCATTGCAACCCGGGCGGCGCGCAGGCGTAGTTGCCCTCGAAATTGATGCACGTCTCCCCGGACGGACAGACCACATCGCTCGGGCAGTCCGACTGCTGGCAAAAGAAGCCATCGGGGCAAGAGGGATCTGCCGACGACGTTGCGCGACGGACAATTTTGGGTGCTGATAGAGGGGATCTTAGGGGACCAGCGGCGGAAGACGCCACGAGGCCCAAGGCATATAGCCAGGCTACTGTCCTGCCCACGGTCATCTTGTTGATGCGCAGATGACCCAAAGCCTATTGATACTCAGTCAGTGGTCCCTGACTCTGAAGGAATGCATTGTGTTCTTATAGTAGAGCCTCTGACCAGGGAATGGTGTCGGAGCAGCAACCCTGATAGGACGGGCTGCCACGCGAGCTGAACAACCGGACCCGCTATACAGTCAGAACTAATATAGGGACATGGATTTTTCTTCACGCCAAGCCATGAAAACGAGGTGGTGACTATCCTCGTCTATTGGGAACCATCAGCCTCAGGGACACTAAAGGACACTAAGAGGCACTAACCCGCCGCTAAAAGCAGGGGTTTGTGCCTCATGATCCCCATAAACCCTTACGCAGCTCGTGTTCGGTAATTTGCTTACGCTCGGCAGCTGAAGTAGATTACTGATCCGCCTCCACTACTACGGCGCATATGGTTTCTGCATGACTCGTCCCTGCAGATATATAGTAAATAGTTCCCTTGCGTGTTAAGTTTGAGGGGAGCTTCACCTCACTCATTTGCTAGTTCACAACCGGCCATGTCCCGGTTGTATGCCCTCTTAGGGCTCCTCGCCTCCGCGGCCGCCCTCAACCCCTCCTGCAGCCCCGGGGGCAACTTCGACCTCACCAAATGGAACCTCCAACTCCCCACGGGAAGCACGGGGAGTCCTCAGACGATCTCGGGGTCGTCGTTAGCCGGATGCAGCGGCTACAGCAGCAGCGTCTTCTACACGGACGGCTCGACCGGCGAGCTGGTCATGACGGTGCCGGGGTCCCCGTCGAGTGCGGGCTGCGTCACCACGCCCAACAGCAAGCACTGCCGGACCGAGTTTCGCGAAATCAGCCCGTCCAGCTGGAGTCCCAGCAATGGGAACAATCGCCTGCGGGTGACCTTGTCGGTGCCGCAGCCGGACGACTCGTCGCATGGGACGGTGATCGGACAGATCCATATCGATGACTCGATCTCTTCGTGAGTACCAGCTTCCTACCGTTGACTTGACATGAATGCTCATTCGATTGCAGAAAGCCCGTCTGCGAGTTGTTCTACAGCTCCTCCGGCCAAATTACGATGGGGGTGGAGCGCACCCGCGCCGGCGGCGAACTGCTCTACACCACCATCGCCACCATCCCCGTGGGCACGAGCTTCACCTACGAGATCCGGTACGAGAGCGCCCAGCTCTCGGTGGCGGTCAACGACGGCGGGTTTGTGCAGCTCTCCCAGTACGAGCTGGCCAACCCCAACAGCTACTTCAAGGTGGGCAACTACAACCAGGGCGACTCGTACTCCGAGGTGCGCATCCAGTCGATCACCGTGACGCACGGGTCGGCCGCCTCAAACACGGGCTCCGCGCATCCCGTGTCGACCATCTCCGTGGCCGGGATCGGGCCGCGGGAGGTTCTGTATGCGCTCGACGCGACGGTGAAGCCGTACCCGTCGCCGACGGGGGCGTGCGCCGCGGCGCCGACCAAGTACTCGGACAGCACGGTCAACCTGCGGTTGTACTATGAAGATAACTGCTGCCATGATGTGGAGACGGCGCATATTGGGACATTCAACGTGTGCCATAACTCCGATGGTCCGTTTGCCTCGATTGAGCAGGCTGTCGGGGCGAATCTGTTCGACCGCGGCATCCATATCGTCGCCTGGGATGGGTTGGACTGCACCGGGGGCTCGACCAGTTTTAGTTTGAGTAACAGCAAGGGGTGTCAGGCCGTGACCAGCGGGACCAGATACCAGAGCTTCATGATCAGCGAGCCGCAGACGTGTGCGGTGACGGGCCCGGCCATCGCGAGCGACAACACGGTGACGATGGAGCTGTATTCGGATGTGGGCTGCTGCACCACGGTGGAGACGATCAAGATGGGCAACACAGGGACGTGCCATGAGGCGGACGCGGCGTTTCACTCGTTCAGCCAGGCGGTAGGCACCAACGAGTTTGGGTGGAATATCCACATCCACACCTTCACCGAGTCTGGGTGTCAGGGCACGTACGACTCGTTCTCGCTGTCGAACGCGGCCACCTGCAACAAGAATGGGGTCGCGTGGAAGAGCTTCATGATCGCGCAGGACTGCGCGCGGCACGATCTGACGGCCAAGAATGACAATACCGTGTCGTTGGCGCTGTATCGCGACGGCGAGTGCTGCGTGTTCAATGGCGAGGATATCGACCTGGGGACCGTGGGCAGCTGCCACAATGCCAACGACAAGTTTGGGAGCATCACCCAGGCGGTCGGACAGAACATGTTCGGGAAAAACGTCCATGTTCAGCTCTTCGAAGGGGCTGATTGCACGGGGACGATGAAGGACCACAGTCTGACAAACGCGGACGGGTGGTGCAGTGCGGGCGGCGTGGATGAGGAGTTCCAGAGTTTTTGGATCAAGAAGCAGTGTGATACGCACGAGCTGTCTGTGACTGGCAGTTATGAGGTGGCGCTGGCCTTCTGGCAGGATGGGAACTGCTGTGAGTATCAGACTGAAGCCCAGCAGGGCCGGTTCGTGATCGGCGAGTGCCGCAACACCGAGGCGCCGTTTGGCAGCGTCACGCAGGCCGTGGGCCAGGACGTGTTTGGGAATAACATTCACATCCAGGTGTACGAGGGTCTGGGCTGCACCGGGTCGAGCAAGCGATTCAGTCTCACGAATGCGGATGGGTGGTGCAGTGACGGGGGGGTGGCCGAGCAATATCAGAGCTACAGCATTGCGCCAGAGTGCGGGTGGAAGGATCCTGCGAATACCAACGCCAACACCGTCACCATCGAGTTATACTCCGACGTGTCCTGCTGCTCATATGTCAGCGAGACGGTTCTTGGTGTTGCCAGTACTTGTCATAATGCCCCATCGAGCGGTTCCGTGGCTGGGATGGGCATTGGGGCCGGTTCTTCGTGGGATGGTGCGCTGCTGGAGCTTTACGGTGAGAAGGATTGTGCAGGAGACTTCAAGTATTTCGAGTTGTCGGGAGACCTTGCTGGGGCATGTGCTGTTACCGGAGGTGTAGTGGCCAGCTGGCGTTTAGTGGAGAGTCAGCAGGTCAGCAGCTGATTTAGGATAGTAGTAGGAATAGAGGTCTAACTTTTGTAGATCCAAGACAGCCTACTGAGCCGGTAGAATCATGTCAAAGAAGTATAGATGAGAACTTGTATAGTGAGATTTTGTCAAAGGTCGATTTTTTCACTGGCTGTATGGAAGATCACTCATCTTGTCTGGGTTTGTCTGCCCTGGACTATATATAATGATAGTTGTGAGTGGCGAATGAATCCAAATCAAGAGAACACTCCCAAGCAAGAACATGGTCATGTTAGAAATCTATCTAAATCTCTTGTTCCAATAGTATAGAGCGTTACTTGAAGGACAATCGTTGAATCATATATAGACCCCACAGAGAAGACTAAAAGAGATCAAATAATACAGGGATTGAATCTTATAGATACCAGGGAGACAGCCCGACCCCCTTCTCAAGACAGAACCCAAAGACAAATTAGAACATCATATAGAATCATGGGGCTTTGAAGGATTCCGGGGGGGAACCCCCGGACCCCCCTTTTTCTCTCAGAATAACAAATAAGCTACAAAGTCTGACACGAGAATAACTTCCCAAGGTTCCCGGGGAGAACCCCCGGACCCCCCTTTTTCTCTCAGAATAACAAATAAGCTACGAAGTCTGGCACGGGAAAACTTCCTGGAGTTCCGAGAGAGACCCCCGGACCCCCCTTCTAATGAGAAGTCTACCAAAGGAATCTACTGCGCGATGTACAAGAATAAAGAATTATAGGATACCCGGGGAGACCACCAGCCCCCCTTCCCCTCTCAAACCAAACCAACCGAACAACAAAACCACACACAAGAATGCACAGAATAATTAAGAAGCCAGGGAAGACCCCATGACACATGTATTGTACCAAAACAAGCAGCAGAAACGACGACATCGTCTCGAGAAGAGATATCAAGAGACACCGGGGGAGACACCCGGACCCCCCTCTCTCCCCAAGACCACCGACGACCTCACAAGACAATCACTCAATCTCCACAACCTCAACCCCCTCTCTCACAGCCTCATTATTCCCCGGAACAAACGGCAACGCCCCCCTCAACCCCACCAGGAACCTCTCCACGAAACCATCATCATCCACCGGGCCGCGGATACACTCCACCAGCGCGACCCCCTCCCCCTCCTCCTCATCGCCCGACCCCAGCGACCCAGCATAATCCACCCTGTACCCGAACGCCACCTCAGGCGCCCCCTCCCACGCCGCGCCCACCGTCACCAACCCGACGACATCGACCCCGTCGCGCACGACTACCGGCCAGCACTCCCAGAGCACGCGCTTGCGGCGCGCCAGCTCCGCCTCCCGGCAGGGATCCGGGAGGAAGGTGGCGCGCTCCGGCGCGGCGGTGGGGTAGGGCTGGCGTTCCTCGCGGGGATGCGGGCAGATCACGATCAGGAAGATGCCGTGGGCGGGCGTGGAGACGGCCAGCTGGGTGTAGTGCAGGGTCAGGTCGCCCGGGTAGTTGGTTTCGCGCGGGGTGGCGGTGATGGTGTAGGTTTGGGTCTCGGTGTCCGGGAAGAGGCTGCGCAGGCGGTGGAGCCATTCGGCGTAGCGGTTGGCGGGCCCCATTTTTGCGGTTGATCTTGGTAAGTTGGTTGGGTTGTTGGTTAGACGGTGTTGAGGGTGTGGGTGCTTTGTGTGGTTAGTGGGTTGGGGCTGTTTGTTTGTTGCTCAAAGGGAGGTAGAGAGGTAGACGGAGGTTTTATATCTTACTTCTTTGCTGGGGTTCAATCGAGATTGGAGGTTTGTTCTGTGGTGGTGGGATGGCTGCAAAGGACTAGCTGGTGAAGACCGGTTTGTTCTTTGTGAGAGGGCTCTGATCAGGACTGTGCTTTGTTCACTCTCTCTGTCTTGGTTGGCAAAGTCGAGAGAGTATCAGTTGTGGTGATATGGATGTGAAGGTGGGAGTGAGTAGAATCGCTGTTGATGGAGATAACAACTTCACACTGGAGCTATGACCTGGGCCTGGAGACGGCTACGCAACAGTTCATCGGTGTAGCTTTGTTCCTGGTTCTTACTATACTAGGCTTGTTGCTGCTTGCTACACTTCTCACCCTCTGTATCGAACTCACTATCAAGTTGATATCAACTGAGAATCTCCCGCCAAACGTCCAACACCCCAAAGAGCAACCAACTTGAAAGAGTACCACCACCCATAAAGAGCCACCGCTCCTCACACATATGTAAATAGCCCTCTCATATTGCCCCCGGAATGACCTCGAAACCATCATCAACCTCCACCAAAAAACAACCTACGACACACACACTAGAGTCACCACTCAAACCAAACAACAAACCCTCCCACGACAATGGACTTCCCATGGCCGCCCCCAAGCCCACCAAGCGGCAGCAACGCCAGCCTGGCCGACGAACTACCAGACTACAGCACCTCGCCCACCGTATGGCTTGCCGCAGTCGCCAGGAAGGTCTACCCGGCCTCCGACTGCTACCACGGGTGGGACATCCAAATCACCACCGAGGCAGCAGCCCCGGCCTCCTCCTCTGAGGACCACCACAGCACCCCCCGCTGCGACGTGATCACGATTTCCCATTCCGCGTCGCGCACCGTGCTGATCCTGGTCGCCGGCCCGGACGATGATGAGGTTTCCCTCGAGTCCCCGCGATCCGAAGCAGAAGAAAAAGCAGACGCCACCGCCATCATCTGGCAGCGCCGCCGGGCGTGTCTGCAGCAGCAGTGGGAACGCCACAACCTGGGCGACGAGTCCGACGAGACCAAGGCGCCGTCCATCCACGGCGCCGTGCTCGTCCGCGGCCAGCTCATCTTCGGGGAGTACCCGGGCTCTGCCAGCCCATCGTGGGTCAACACCACGGATAACGATGCCCCGTTGGAGCCATGGCGATTGTCCGAGAATGAAGGCAGGGCCTGGTTTGCCGATAAGCTGCTGGAGATCCGGTTGTCTGCCGGGGAGCCCCGCTATGAGGTGGCGTACTGGGTCTGGACGAAGCTGGGACTGTCGTATGCGGACTGGTTGAATCTTGGGAAATACGACCCGCTTGAGTTTGAGTAAGCAATTCACCTCACCCACCCCATTTGTGGTTGTGTCATGGTCTGAGGTGGTCATAGTCTGAGGAAGATTTCACAATTGAATTTCAAAGATATTCTGATATTATAAGTTTGATGCATCGTAGTAACTACACCTTACTGCAACTTTATTCCTTTTTCTTGTCCGCGAGTTCGCCCTCCTCGGCGAACCGCAGGCGCTTGCCGTACACCCACTTGGTGCGGCCGAGAAGAGTCCCCGCCGCGAATCCCAAGTACGCGCCTGCCAGGATGGTGATGGGGAAGGCTTGCCACGGACGGTCCCTATGGATCATTAGCATGTCATATGAACCGACTAGTATCACCCTTGAACCCTGCACTGCACGCCCAGACACTGCATCCCACTCAAACAAATAGGCAATGAACTCACCAGTCTAATGGAATAGGCACCGCGCCCAACCAAGCCCCAACGCAAGTCCCCAACGCCGCCCCCCACACGGCATCAGCCGGCCGACCGGCGCCCCAGACCTCCCTCCAGACCGCCCCATCAACCCCATGCACGTAAACCAAGGGCACGGCTGCCAGGAGAGCCATATGCGCCGCACAGAGCGCCGTCTGGGCATGATGCGTGGTGAACGGGGCGCCGAAGAGAACGAGGAGGATGGCCAGAACCGGGGTGGCCAAGAGGGCCGTCAGGATGAGGGCGAGGAGTGAAGGCTGGACGAGTTCGCACATTAGCATGGTCTTATCTAGTACATCGTAGCAGTAAGAGTAGCATAGATTCTGCTACGCTTGCACATGTCACAATAATCTTGCAAGAAAAAGCACTTACAATAACCTTCCCTCCCAATCCACCCAGCACCCCCACCCCTACGCCCGCGCCCGCGCCGCCGCTTCCACCACCACCGCCCTTGCGACGCGCAGGCCGTCCCGGACGGAGAATGATGTTGCTCGAGCTGGAGCTTGTTCCGGAGGGGGTCGCACCGGAGGAGCTGCTGCCCGGGTTGTTGTCAAGCGACCCGCCCGCCGGTGGGAGACAGATGATCGCAAACACGACCTGACTGGCGGCCAGGAACGGAAGCGCGTTCAACATCTCCGACACGGGATCGTTGACGAGTTGAGGGAAGCGGACGGCGAATCCCAAGAGAACGGCCGCGGGGTGGGCGAAGGAATAAATGCGCGCGAGCTGCGAGGGGAGGATGCGAACGGGGGGTGAGGACTTGAGGATCGGCGGGGGGCCGCCGCCGCTGTTGCTGCTGCTGCTACTGCTGCTGTTGCTGCTGCTGCTGCTGCTGTTGTTGTTGTTGCCGTGGATAGCGGACATTGCTCCGGTCGCTGTGGGTGAGGGAGGAGAGGAGACCATCTTGTGCGCCAGAAATTGACAAGAAACAAAGCTGTCAAGATGAGGTGGAGGCAGCTCGGGGAAAAAGAAGCTGAGAGAAGGAGAGAAGGGGAACCCCCGGAGAAGGCGGAAGCGGAAAGAATCGAAAAACGGGGCCGGGTGCCTCAGGTGTCAACACCTCGGGGGTACATACAGTAAAACAGTACAGTACAAACAGTACAAACTAGTTAGTCTAACCACTGCATCGCGCGCGCACATTGACCACAAACCAGGTGAATACAACCTACACTGACACAACTCTTTTACTCTTCTACTCGTTACTCATCTACTTATCACACAGCGAGATTCTGTACGTCTACATCGCTTTTATTCAGCGCTACCCTTTCCCGAACTAATCAATACATACATCAGTCGTAACCCATAAAGCATCAGGCGCAGCTGCAGCCAAAGTATGGCAACACATTCCTCCCTGCACACCCTCATACATAACTTCGCCTGTCTCATCTAGGACAGTTCTCGTCATCCAAAATCCGGAACATAACAAAGGAAAAAGTACGCAGAAATTCTATGACGGTACACTAGGCCCCGGTCCGGACTCAGCCTTCTCTTCGTGAACCGTCTGCAATGGCTCAGAAGGAGGCGTTGCTGTTACAGCCTCAGCGGAGTCTGTGGGGTGATCCGTGGGTATTGTTGGTACAGTAGGCTCAAACCCGGCCACTTTAGTCTCCAGAGGTTCAGCGCCCGGCTCAGGGACAGAGTCAGTGCCAGGCGCAAGGCTAGGCTCAGCACTAGGCTCCGTACTTGGCTCAGTGCCAGGTTCGGTGCTGGGCTCAGTGTTCGGCTCAGTGCTAGGCTCAGTGGAACTGGTCTCCGTAGGAACAGCAGCTGGGGCATCGGAAGCGGCCGGGACCACGGAAGCCTCAGCAGCAGGTGCAGGGACAGCAGACGTCATGACTGGGCTCTCAGGCATGTGAGGCTCTTCGGGAATCGGTGGCGGGAGTCCAGAGCCAGGCAGAGGTGACACCGGAGAACCGACGCTCGCATCCTTGGGCTGGCTAGTCGAATCGATCGGTGCCGGTCGGTGTCGCACATCTGTAGCTGAAGGTGAGAGCAGTTGCGTTGAGATAATCGAATCCGCGTCGTTCACAGGACTGCGCGTGCGATCGCGCTCCGTGGATTCCTTGACGCCATCTCGCACTTGAGCAACCTTGGCTTTGAATTTCCCAAACAGACTACGCTTTTCCGGCTCCGACGCCAACGACGCTTCTCGCGAGCCCCCGGGGTTGCTGACTTCGGCGTCGAGACTTAATGGTTGGTAGCTCGGGTCGTTGGCAAACTGCTGCAGGTCTGACGGGGAGCTCCTGCTGGCATGGTGCCAGCTGCCGATCGAGCTGGTACTCCGGTCTGCGCCCGGAGTCGACGCCATGAGCGGGGGCGAACCCAAGCCCAGGCCAATTTGCTCATTGCTGCGCTTGGACGACCGTGGGAATCGCCAGCTGCGGCGGTGTTCCTTGCGTTCTGCGCGCGACGCCTCTTCCGCCGCATCTACATCCGAGTAGTCCGTGAACGACGACCGGGAGTTCATCGACGGGGTGCGAGATCCGTAGGGTCGGAGCGAGGTGTCGCCCATCTGGCCGCCCTCAGTCTGCGAAGCCTGCTTTTCGGGCCGACCTTCTCGCGGTGGGCTCAGTTCATCGGAACTAGTGGTTTGGGGAGGACGAGGAGTTGCACCGCCCACCTCATTGCCAGCATCCGTCGACCGAGGCCCATGCAGAATCGCGGCCAACCCAGGCTCGGATGTCGCGGCTTGCAGCGAATGAGAAGAGCTCTGCGCACTCTCGCTCGCGCTGCCGGGAATTCGTTTCTTCTTCAACCGATTCGGCTGTCGGGGTTCCCGGCCTTCTCCGCTCGGCGGTGGTGATTTGGAGAAGAAACTCGACAGCTTGCGCTCCCGCGTCGGAGTCACCACAGCGGGCGGGGGAGATACCGTTCGCGCAGCGGGAGGCAGGCCTTCATGCAGTACCGGTCGCTCTGTGACTGGTTTTAGTGGCACGGGCTTCTCGGTTGGAGTTGACCCATTTTCAACGTTCGCCCTGGGAATCGGTCCATGGGTCGACGAGTGAACATAGACAACCCCCACCCCAGTGCCTGTCGTTGCAGGTGGAGATTGGGGGTTGCTGGGCTGTGGGCTAACCGCTGGTTGAGGGTTGCTCGGTTGTGGGGGAACTGCTTGCTCGGGTACTGCTGGCGCAGGGGTCGATTGCACGGGAGGCCGGCCTGGCATGAGCTGCGCAGGGATGGGCGGCCTAGACGCAGGCTGCGCTTCGCTGGGTGGAGGGACAGGAGAGGGCTGGGTGTTATTAATGGTGGTAACGTTAGGTGGTGATTGGATGGTAGTACTGGAGGTGCTGGACGGGGTTTTGTCCTCCTCCTCAACCGTGGGTGGCGCACGGCTGGACGATCGGGAATGTTGCGCGGAGGTGCGATTCGACGAGTTCAACCCGGTCGACTCAACAACCCGTCCATAGCGATGGGGAGGAATGGCCGGGGACATCTTGGAGGGCAAGGTGTTGCTGCGATGCACACCCGCTCCACTCATCGAGGGTGGCGTCGCCGGGCTGGCGTTGTTCGAGTTGCGCGAATTCCGCGACGAGACAGACACATTCCTGCGAAGGCTTTCGTACTTGCGGAAGCTCTCCCCGCCGCCACTAGCACTCGAGACGGAGCGGCGGATGTTGGTGGAATGAGTAGTGGGCCGGCGCGTCACACCTCCTTCGACCTCCTTGAGTGTTTGTTCATCAGCAGCCGTCCCGTTCATTCCGAACAAGAAATGGTCCTGATTCTCAATCAGGAAGATCAGCACATCCTGGCTCAGCTTGTATTCGTCCGGCGACATGTCGTGTTGCGGATGCGACAGCAGCCCGGGCTGGAAAATAGCGGACAGGTTGGCGGAGGTCATGCGGTTCTGGTCCGATTTCGATGCGAAAACCGCGAGAAGATCCAGAATGTAGAGGAGCAATTGCTTGTTCAGAGGGGGCAACTCGCGGATCAGCTGTTGGTACGCGGCAACGGCCTTCGCATGATCAAAGGCCTCCGACTCGTTGGGAGGGGCATTGTTCTGCATTTGTTCTTGAACTTGTCTTTGGTAGGTGCGGAGCGGCTCGCGGAAACGTTCGTAAAAGTCCAAGGGGACGATCGGCTCTGGTAGTTGGTTCAGGTAGCGTCGCAGCACGTTGGCTGCGTCGTGCACTGTGTATCCCGTCCAGTCGAGGCCTTTGCCATATCGCTCGGGGGAGTCGAACACCTCTTGAAGGTCCTTGATGCGTTTGGCAGACCCGCTGAGACGAAAGATACCCTCAACGTCGGTCGCTAGACCCCTGGATCAGTCCTGGTCAGAATCAGCGAAGAGCAAGACCGGCATACCTTTCTCCTTCAAGAACACTCCACACTTGGCCACCACGATAGGCACATAGCCGTAGATGAAGCTCTCTCCGTTATCGTTGGTCAGCGAAATGGCGACATTGGCGTACTTGATGCTGACGTTGAGCGGGACGCCGAAGATACCCTGCGGTTTCTCTATAGATTCATGATCAGCGCATGACCCGCAAAAAAAAAAAAGACTCTCGGCTAGAGTAATGGAAACAGGCAGTCGGACTCTGTCCGATGCTAAGGGGAGCAGACCGGGCCTGGACCGGATGCGAGTCATGGTGTCTCCCAGCAGTGACGCAGATCAACAGCAGATGACCGCATCGCATCTGGCACCACCCTTGCACTGCAGCCTCCCAGGCCTCAGCCTCAGATGTGTTCCTCCACGCAAACATACCTTTCGGTTCCTCCTTGCGAGTGTTCCTTTTGAACTGCCTCCACCAGGAAGCCAGATCCCGTTTCGAAGGCGGCGAGGTTGCGATGACGTCTGGCTGGGCAGTCGGAGGCGGAAGTGGGTGCAGCGGCTCCACGCCCGCGTGCGATTTGCCCGTGACCATGGTGAGGAGGAAATGCGCGACGGAGACGAGGGTTGGGAGGAAGGGGGGGGGGGAGAGGGGCGAGATGCGACACTGGCGGTATTGAAATAGAGAAAGTAGCGACACGACCAGACCAGACCAGACCAGACCCAGCTAGCAAAAAAGAAAAAAAAACCGAGGCTGCTGTCACCGCCCTCGCGTTGGCGCAAGAAATTCCGGGGCTGGGAAGCGTTGATCCCAAAATAGCACGAGGGCTAGTCAGGCAGCGGATTTAGGTGCCGCGCCGGAGGGGAAACAGCGTACAATGGGAGGGGAAACCCGGGGAAATGGGCCCAGGTACGTCTCGAACGGTGTATGGCGGCCGAGGGGAAGGGAAACGAGAAAGAGAGAGAAACGGGGGAGGGAGAATGTGAGAGGGGTGGATAGAAGGGGGAGAGAAAAGAAATCAGGAGGAGGAGGAGGAAGAGGAAGAAGAAGAGGAAGAAAGGGAGACGAACAGGCAGGGATGATAGATGAGCGGGCGGGATGAAAGGGGAGCGAGCCAGAGCGTCACAGTTAGGTAGAGTAAGTTAGTTAAGTGGTAAGTGGTAATGAAGTAAGAGAGGGAAGCCACAAAAGCGAATCAATCGATTTCTCGATAGACACGGGGACGAAACGCTGCACAACCTGTCAGGTGTTGAATTTTGGGAGAGTGGTTGTTGTTGGAGGTGGGCTTTTTTTGGTGTTTTTCTTTCTTTTTTTTTAGAGGTAAAGAGAAAGGAGGTAGGTAGAGAGAGGTACTGTACTGTAGGTGATAAAAAGAGGGAAGATTATCACACTTGACGTTGTCGTCGTCGTCGTCAGTTTTGCACACACCCACACTCTCACTCGTTCCCAATCACTAGCAGACCACGCACACACAATCCACTTCAAGAGTGGACTGACAGAGAGAGGGCTGACTTTTGGACCCTCCGACAGGGTGTGCGTGCTGGTCGATCCGGGGATGAAGAGCCAATGACCATCATCGGCAAAAGGGGGGCAAACGGAGGAAGGAGACTGGTCCAGAAGAGATCGTCAAAGACCAAAGACGGACACGAGTCTGGTACTGGACTGGATTGATGATGGTGATGGATGGAGGAGGAGGGGGGGGGGGGAAGGAGGAAATTGGAGAATGAATGAATGATTGATTGTTGGTTGATGATTGATGGACGTCAGTCAATTGATGGGGAATAATAATAATTTGGAGGGCGGGACCGGAGGAAGAGAGAGCGAAAGAGAATTGACAATTTTGACAGAAGGAGAGTAAGTCAAAAGGTAAAGGATGGGGAACAATAATGCCCGCCCCTCTCTTTGGCATTGATCGCCTATCGGATGTGAGGTATGTAAATTGGAAGAGAGAGTGCGTGTGTGTGTATGCAATTGAGTATAGATTAGTTAGTGAGTTACTTGGTCTAAGTACTGTACATAGCACTGTACCGTAGACTTAAGACTATCAATTATCAAAAACGAGGGAGGAGGGAAAACGATTAAATGTCAATAATTCTCCATCTTATTAATCTTCCGGAGCGGTGCATCGAAAAGATGTCGATGATTATCATTCGAACCCACTTCGAATGGATGTCTCCTCGAACCAGTTCCAGGGATCCAGGGTTTCTGGCACGAAACGACAGAAGCAAAGGAGATTCCCTGGGCTTTCCCTTTCCCTTTTTTTTCTCCCGTCTACCCTTTTACCCTTTCCTTCAGACCCGTGATCCGACGGTTCTGGCCCTGGGTCTAGTCAGTCTACTAGGCGGTTCTTCAATCATTCCGTTACGACGGTTGGATTAATCTGTTGCTAACTACTGCAGATCGAGCCACTAACAGGAGGCCCAACAGAGTGAGACACTCAATCCACCTAAACTGCTAGTCAAGCCCACCAAAAAGGCCCCCCATCTAGTCTAGTCTGGTCTAGTCCTACGTGGTGAAGAAAAACACCAGACTCGGTGGATGGCTGATGCAGTTCGCAGTTGACTCCACGCGAAGCAAGAATGAAGATGACCAACTGTTCGTTCGTTGTGAAACGGTCTGGGCCAGGTTGATACATTTCTCGGTAAGAGCCACGCAAGAACGCAAGAGAAAAGAAGGGGGAAAAAGGGAAAAGCCCCATTCTTGTTCTCTCCGTCTCCTACTTTCTGTCTTCTAGGCCTCCAGGGCGTGTCCTAAAAATATGAATGGGCCAGGATCGTGGTGCCTGTCGGTCTGCCTGTCAGCAGATGCAACCCTTGGTAGTAGTAGTACGTAGTTAATACATTCGGTAGTTGAATGGCTCCGTCACTGCTCCGTCCCCTTCATTTTCCCTTTCTTGCCCCTCCCACAGAAACAGTAGAGGACCACTCCATGACGAACTCTACCGCGGTTCACCCGATCAGCAACTGGCTTACTCTGTACTGTATACTCCGTACTATACACCCCAAAGGTTAGGTAGGTGGCTGTCATCCCAAACGGCCCGACACTGGACCTAGGCGGACGGATTATTCAGCGGGATCGCAAGTGTTGGTGGAAAACAATAAGATCTTCTTCTCATCCCCTCTTTATTGTCTGGTCATGCCGCTGCCGATCCTGGAATTGAGAAGGAGACGCACGGATTGTATTGTAGACCTGGGGGAGGGAGGGGAGAAAAGGATTGGGTGGACTGAGGCGGTACCTAGTAGAGTTTCGTACGGGGCAGGGGAAGAGGATATTTCCCTTATTCCCTTTCATTCCCTAATGATCGAGCATCGACCGTCGTCCAGATCCCAGGGTGGTGATAGTGCCAACCATGGTTCTTGGGGCCAGCCAGACAGTAGGTCGGGGTCCAGGACTCCCCCAGCTGGGCGTGTGCTTTTTTTAAACTCTGCCGCAAAGGGCTGACGGTTGTCTCGTCTTGTACGGAGTAGCGTCTCGTCCACGGTCGCCTCGGGTCCTGCTCGATGGAGCAACCGACGGAACCGAGAGGTTCCGGATTTCAGCTGAGTCAGACGTGGTTGCTTCACGTGATGATACGGGTAGGCGACAGCCGACTTCACGTGATTCTCGCTCAAGTGATGACACGTGATCGCCGCAGAGCCTGCGGTCCGCTGTGAAGCTCCGGAGCTGGTCGTCATCGAGGACTATCAAAGTTGCTTGCTGTGTGCATTCCCTGATTTCCTGAACACTTCTACCATTCACCCCAACTTTATATCACCATGGAAGGGTACGTGTCAAGACATGCATTCGCGACTTCGAAAATATTATTCCCACAAGATCATCTGCTGACCAGCCTAGACTCAATGCATCGGAACAGCGCGAGCTCGCTGCCCGCATGGAGAGAAAGCAGCTGAAGGAGTTTATGACTGTACGTACCTATCTTATCCCAAGGCTGTTTCCGATTCGATTCCCCTCGCAGTTTGCCCTGTGACTGTGACAAGCTCTACCACCGCCTACGATAAACTTATCCCTAGCTACCGCTTTCCACCCAGTTACTGACCCTGCCGGTCCTTCCAGATGTACTCCAAGCTCGTGCAGAAGTGCTTCGACGACTGCGTCAACGACTTCACCACCAAGTCCCTGATCAACCGTGAGGAGAGCTGCGTGATGCGCTGTGTTGACAAGTACATGAAGGGTTCGGCCCGGTTGAACGAGCGGTTCCAGGAGCAGAACGCGGCCATGATGCAGCAGGGCCAGATGCCGGGTCGGTAAACTGGTGCTTTGTACGATCTTGTCTTGCTGGGTAGTTCTTGCATTCGGTTTGGCGAACTGTGTATAAAATCTTTAGAATTCAACGACGAGCTCCTGGTTTCGGAAGATATATGATGTTTTGGGAATGCTGTTGGTACGATCAGTGCTTTAGATGCGTGGTACGAGCCGGCGTACAGTGTAGTCTGAGCTCATGCTTGAGTGCGCACCAACTCGGATCGAATGAGCCATGCAGCACACGATGGTAGGAAGATAAAAGCCTCGTGAATTGGATCTTATCGAGGCTGCACACCAGATCACCTTGGTCATCCTACCAAAGTAAGTCTCCTATCGATGGAGCAGGCGTTGTACACGTAGGCTCAACTCATGAAGCTCTTTCTTTCCGGTCAATTCGTAGGTCCCTCGTCTGCCGTCCCGTCATTCCTCAATCATTCGGTTGCTGCGCAGGTCCCAGAAATTGTTTCTGAGGTGTCGAGAGAGTATACAATCAAATGCTTGCTTTGGTACATTTTCGTCAGCTAAATGAAACCCCGAACAGACTTTCAGTATGTCCGGATCATGAGTACAAGCTCGGATCTGCCATCGACCCCTAACCTACCACGCAAACTCACCACGACGACCGACCTGCCTTGCTGCCCCCCAAATCAGAAAGCGGTGGAGCAGCCGATATCGGGTCGACGAGAGCGACCCATCCCGTACATTGAGCACAGTCCCGGGATGATAAAGTAGTACTCGAGAGCAATCTTTCGCACTACGAAAGGAAAATGTCTCAATTGGGTGGGTGTCTTTTGGAGATAGGCCGAGACTTCGCCGATAAATGTATCTCTCTGGACGATAGTCGATAAGGGCGATAGGTACTGTACTTCCTAGTATTGGCGGCGACGACGAAGGAATCGGGCACGGTGCCAAGCGGCCGGAAACTATTGCCCTTTCTGTGAATCCACACTAAGATGACTCAAAAGTCTCAAAAGTCTCAAATGATAAGAGGTGGTGGGGACGGACTGGACGGAGTGGGGACGGAGCTTACTGGGTACATTTTGGCGTGTTTGCATGGTTTACAGCATGACTAATCCCATACTGCATCTGCTATGAACCTTGAAAAGTACGATTCAATGATGCGATGATGCGATGATGCGGAGAGAATGAGGGGCATTCCGTGGCTATGCATGTTGTTGCACTCACTATCAGCTTCACTGCTCCTCTTATCCTCCGCCTCGGATGCTCCTCCGAAGCTATAGCCTAGCTATAGCCTTGAGTGTTTTGCAGGTAATTGAGTAAATTGTACGTATAGTAAATACCGTGCCCCTCACGCCTTCTCCTCTTCTCTTCTCTCCTCCTCTTCTCATCCCCTCCCCTCCCCCTCATCGGCAAAACTCCAACTCCACTTCTCCCTGCTGTCTGTCCGGTTCGAGCAATTTATTCCCGCCCGGACCACTTCACTTTCCACCGCTTTCTTTTCATCTTCCATCATCTCTCTTTTCTTTCTTATATCCTCCCCCCCCTCCCCCACCTGCCTTCCCTTGGGTCCGTGTAAGCTACCATCTTTGACCTGATACCCATCGTCATCACAATGGCTGACACCGTAGGAAAGGTGAGCTACCCACCCCTCCATAGCTTGGTGTCACCCGCGTTCTCTCGCTAACTTGTCTTCTCTAGACCATCACCTGCAAGGTGAGCAGCTTCGTCTAACGGACCCAAATAGCACAATCCAATTGATTTGATCTCAAAAATCTAGGCTGCTGTCGCCTGGGGCGCCGGAGAGCCTCTTTCCATCGAGGACATTGAGGTCGCGCCTCCCAGGGCTCACGAGGTTCGCATCCAGATCCACCACACCGGTGTCTGCCACACAGGTCCGTAATATATCTACTGCGTGGATTTGCTTTGTCCAACTGACCCCCGTCAGATGCCTACACTCTCTCCGGAAAGGACCCGGAGGGTGCTTTCCCCGTCGTCCTGGGTCACGAGGGTGCCGGTATCGTCGAGTCCGTCGGCGAGGGCGTCACCTCCGTGAAGCCCGGCGACTATGTCATTGCTCTTTAGTGAGTATATCTGCCTCTCATCAATTTGACCTCGATCTAACCACCGGGTCAGCACCCCCGAGTGCCGGGAGTGCAAGTTCTGCAAGTCCGGCAAGACCAACCTCTGCGGCAAGATCCGCGCCACCCAGGGCAAGGGTGTCATGCCCGACGGCACCTCGCGCTTCAAGGCGCGCGGCAAGGACCTCCTGCACTTCATGGGCACCTCGACCTTCTCGCAGTACACCGTGGTGGCCGACATCTCGGTGGTGGCCGTGACGCCCAAGATCCCCACCGACCGCTCGTGCCTGCTGGGCTGCGGTATCACCACCGGATACGGCGCCGCCGTCGAGACCGCCAAGGTCGAGGAGGGCTCCAACATCGCCGTGTTCGGCGCGGGCTGCGTCGGTCTGTCGGTGATCCAGGGCGCGGTTAAGAACAAGGCCGGCAAGATCATCGTCGTGGACGTCAACGACGGCAAGGAGGCGTGGGCCCGCAAGTTCGGCGCCACCGACTTCGTCAACCCCACCAAGCTCAGCGGCAAGACGATCCAGGAGCAGCTGATCGAGATGACCGACGGCGGCTGCGACTACACCTTCGACTGCACGGGTAATGTCGGGGTGATGCGCGCGGCCCTGGAGGCGTGCCACAAGGGATGGGGCCAGAGCATTGTGATTGGTGTTGCCGCTGCCGGGCAGGAGATCTCCACTCGCCGTAAGTTTCTCTGTCGGTGTATTGAGGGCGATGTGTGCTAACCTCGTGCAGCATTCCAGCTGGTTACCGGCCGTGTGTGGAAGGGATGTGCCTTCGGTGGGATCAAGGGCCGCACGCAGCTGCCTGGCCTGGTTGACGACTACCTGAACGGCCAGCTGAAGGTGGACGAGTTCATCACGCACCGGGAGAAGTTGGCGGACATCAACACCGCGTTTGAGCAGATGAAGCAGGGCGACTGCGTTCGCTGTGTGGTTGATATGTCGTAGATGAAAAGTTATGACTGAAATTGAAGTTGAATATTGAATGCCATATGAATTACCGAATCCACCCATGCGCCGACTGCTCTACTTCCGGCTGTGCTGTATATATGTTAAGCTGTTCCGCAAGGTCCTCATGAGGACCTGGTAGACAAGCAGCAAAATGAAGATCAGTCTGTACCCCGCCAGAGACATAAGACCATGCTACCAAGTATAGAAGAACACACCACCGTCCAAGCAAAGAACATACGTTATAATCTTCCCGACCAAAGAACAACGTACTCAATCCCAGATATCATACATCTACCACAAATCCCCACCCCTATCTCCTAACGCACCCATTATCTCCTATCCCCCCACACCCAGATAATAAACCCCTCTATCAAGACGAAAGTCGGCCAACTTCCGATGGCCCCCTGCATAGGCCGTATCCGACAGTACCCGCCCACGGCAGCAACTGAGGGGAAGAAGAGGGGTTGAGTTCGAGTACACAGATAACTGTCAACAACGCAATAGTATTGTATCTCCGATGACGGAGTCCAGTCCCCAGAGAACTACCTCCCAACCTCCAACCAGCTATATAACCAGCACCAGCACCAGCACGAACACATACACAACACATACCCAAACACCAAGACCAACACACTCAGTCCCAAACCCACCCACCAATCGACACACCACACCCTCTCACCTCCACACCCGTGACCCCCAAGAACCGAACCCAAAATGCCTCCCCCCCAAACCACCGACCCCATCCCCCTCCCAGCGCCCTTCTCCTCGATCCCCCGCCTCGCGCTAACCCTCGGGCCCTCCCCGATCCACCCGCTCCCCCGCATAACCGCCGACCTGACCACGCCCACCAACCCCGTCCACATCTACGCCAAACGCGACGACCTCTCCTCGCACCTGGCCTACGGGGGCAACAAGACCCGGAAACTGGAGTACATCCTCGCGCCCGCGGTGCTGCCCCCTGCCCAACAAACCGACCAAACCCAAACCCCCTCCGCATGGCGCAAAGCAACCACCCTCATCTCGATCGGCGGCCTGCAATCCAACCACACGCGGCAAGTGGCGGCGTGCGCCGCGCACCTGGGGCTGAAAGCGCGGCTGATCCAAGAGAACTGGGTGCCCGACTACGCGGCGCACAGCCGCGTGTACGACAAGGTGGGCAACCTGCAGCTGTCGCGGCTGATGGGGGCGGACGTGCGGATCCACCTCCCCACGGAGTTCGGGATCGGGGAGAAGGAGACGCTGCGCGCGCTGGAGGAGGAATGTCGGGGGAACGGGGAGGTGCCCTACTATATTCCGGCGGGGGGGTCGGATCATCCGCTGGGCGGGGTGGGGTTTGCGCGGTGGGCCTGGGAGGTGAAGCACCAAGAGGAAACGGTGCTGGCGGCGGGGGAGAGGTTCGACACCGTGGTGGTTTGTGCGGTGACGGGGGGCACGTTGGGGGGGATGATTGCTGGGTTTAAGTTGCTCGAGAAGTTGGATCCCGAGGGGGAAGGAGGCCCGAAAAAGAGGAAGGTCGTCGGCATTGATGCGAGTGCGAAGCCGGACGAGACGCGCGCCCAGGTGTTACGCATTGCCAGGGTGACTGCGACGCAGATCGGGTTGACCGAGGAGGATATCGCCGAGGAGGATGTGGTTCTGGTCGAGGATTATCATGCCGGGCTGTATGGCGTGCCTGACCGGCAGACCTGGGAGGCCATTGAGTATGCGGCCCGCATGGAGGCGTTTATCACCGATCCGGTCTACGAAGGGAAGAGTTTCGCCGGGATGGTGGATTTGATTCGCAAGGGGAAGATTACGGGCAATGTGCTGTATGCTCATCTGGGGGGGCAGCTGGCGCTGAATGCGTATACGGATGTGGGTGAGAGGAAGGGGTCGATTTAAGATGATGTTTATGGAGAAGACAACGCATATCGATTTATCAATCAGCGATCAAAGTTGGTTGGAAGCAACGCATATCAATGTATTAATGAGTGACTAAAGTTGGCTTAAGTGATGAGCTATGGATGGTAGTGGCAAGTAAAAATACTACCCCTACAAAAGCTTGTGCTCAAGAGTCATCTCAGACTCAGGCTGCAGGCCAACACACGCCCGGAAGATGTTGGTCAAGGCGTTGCGCTGCTTGGCCAGCGAGTTGACCACCGGAGTGCCAGGGGGCGTCAAAGGAGCCTTGAGCATGTAGCTCAGCACGCTGAGCACGCTGTGGAACCCACGGTACTCCTCAGCCTCATCCGCCTTCCAGCTGATGCGGGTCATCATCTCCGCCACCAACACCAGATCGATGATCAGAGGAGACGCCAACAGCGAGTCCTCACAGATGTTGAACAGACTGATCGTCTGGTGGCCTCCCATGAAGATCTCCGCGTAGTACTCGTCCAGCGCACGCTTGTTGTCGCCAACAGCCGGCATGTACTTGATCACAACGGTGTGGTCAGGGTGCTCGTCCTCCGCATACAAGATCTTGTTGGCAGCGACCATGTCGTCCACCACGTTCGACTTGGAGATCTCCTTGGAGCGGAACTGCTTCTGCGAGCTCAGGTTCTTGCCGTCGTTGTTGCCCAGGTGGTTGTAGCTGGCAATCGAGGTGAGCTTGATACCCGCGTTGATCAGGAAGTCGACAAGGGCACTCTTCATCTTGGTCTGGCCAGACTTGAAGTCGTCACCACCAATGAACGCTCCGTACTTCTCCGCCAGCTGAAGAGCTCCGGGAACGAAGGTGTTCTGAGGAGAACCGTTGATGAAGGGAATGTTGTCGAGGATACAAGCAACAGCAAAGACAGTCGAAGGAGAGACCTCGAGGTGTCCATCCTTGATGGCCGCCAGCAGGTTGTCGGCGGTGTCATTGACGCCCGGCACAATGTCGGCATACCGCTCAGTGTTGGCAGTCCACATGACCACGACCTTGTCGAGACCGTTCTGGGCCTTGAACTCACGCATGTCCTTCTGGATCTGCTCCACGTGAGCCCAGCAGGCCTTGGATCCCTCCAGCACGTTGTCCGCCCGGTCTTCCTGGTTGGCAGCAATGAAGTCCGGGTAGTAGATACTGGGCAGGGGCTTCATCTCGGCCATCTCCTTGCGCACCAGCTGCTTGAGCCCAGGCTCAAGAACCTGGGCCCGGTCCATCGCGTCCGCCAGGTTCATGCTGCTGATGTCCCAACCACCAACGACCAGGTCATTGGGGTGCACCATGGGCAGCATGTCGTGGAAAGGGATGTTGATCTCCTCGCCCGTCTTGGCGTCGGTGCCCAGCTTGATGGTCGATCCCATCACCACAGACCCATAGTAGTTGGAGGCACGCATGCCCTCGCGGGTCTCCCAGCTGAGGCCGCGGCGGTTGGCAATGAGACCGGCAGTCACGGTGGAGCCGTTGTTTCCACCCCAACCGACCATCATCACACCGACTTTGCCCACCTTGCGGTCGACCTTGAAGTGGTAGTTGGTAGCCTTGGGAGTGGCCACCAGCTTGTTGTCGGCCGAGCGGGTGACCTCGGTGGTGTGGTACACATACTGACTTTTGATCTCGGAATCGGTGTACACGACATTGGGCGAGTTGACGGTAAACAAAGGAGCGGTACGCGCAGACCCGTTCACGGCGCCATTGGCAACAACATCCGAACTAGCGTGGGGAGCCATTGTAGTGACAGAGGATCGGAAGCGTTTCGGAATAGAGAGTGGTTAAGGATGGCAAATTAGGCGTTTATTGAATGTGATATGCGCAGTCCGATGCTCCACCACGGTTGGATGAGCGCCGGCCGTTGAACGGGTGGTGCCGTCTAGAAAGAGAACTGTTAGCTCTGAACTTGGAAAAGTGATTGTGGACGCGAATTGCTCCAAGGGAAGGATCAATTGCTGTTCCGGGCAACACGATGCTGCTGCTGCAGTGCCAGGTGATCGTTGACAGCAATCCGGGGGTGGGGCGCGGGCACTCACGAGTTAAGAAGTGTGGAGAAAATTTTGACGGTGGTATGAGATCACGCCTCGGGCAGAGTGTGATCGAAGAAAGGTTGAACTTGGAGAAGTTGGTTTACGAAACGAAGATGTGGAAGTTTGACGGTGGGTGGAAAGGAAAAAGGAAGGGGAAACCTTGGAGGGGAGTTGCTCTGGGTTCCTTCTTATAAGACAGACAATCCAGGTACGGACGGAGCAGCTCGGCTCCCGCTGGGCGAGTCCGCAATCGTCCGCCCGTAGCCCGTCCAGCTCCGTCTCAACAAGTTCGGGGAAGCGACCCTCATAACTTGCCCACTACCCACTGCCCACTACTGCTCGCGCTAGTTGTCCCAACTTCGAACTACCAGTATCTACCGGGCCAATTCACGCGAGTATGCTTAATTGAATTTCTCCGGAGGTACTTATTCTAGATGTGTTGGCAGCCTGCGACAGGAGAATTTCCTCCCAGAGGTTGCGGTGAGCCCCGCGGAGACCAACCTCCCTGCGAGACAGCTGTTGAACCGATTTTTTAATGTTGTGGATCTTTACTGGATGATTTGTATGACCAGTGAATAGCCAGAGTCATGAATCGTGCGTTATGCAGACACTTTTAGAGTAGTAATGACTTAGGTATACTCCTTGATTGACTGTGTACTGCATATAGATCGTGGTCAATTTGCCCATGCTATCTGCCCGCACGTGCTCCTCAACCATAAATTTCAATTAGTCCGGCATGCTACCCCTGAGACCGCTGGACTCGTGCCCATTTCCACCGAGGGGACATCATTTCCCAGCAGCAGGCATAGTGGACCATGGGATGGCAGGTACCCGCGGGGCTCCGCTTCGCCGACAGTTCATCGACATGCTCAGTATTCATGCAACTTCGGTCTGAACAATTGAGTCTGGAGCATTACGCAGTCATAATCCTGAACCAGTACCAAGCCATGCTGCTGCTGCTGCAAGCCAGTCTTTTGGGAAGACGCAATGTTGCGGTGAGCAACAGCCAGCTCGGCAGAAGTTGTTCCATGGTTGCCAACTCGGCCCCTGAATTTATGCATCGGTAATGCTGTTTGCGGAGGCTGCGGAGTGCTCTGCTCCTCTCTTATTGCCTGATCGCCTCGCTTAGCACCCGGCACCGCGCACTTGGAATTATGCTGCCTGCCTGCGAGGTCTTGGAAGTTGGGACACGACATCAGTCGTACGTACCCCCGACTGCCCTCTAGATTAGTTCATGTAGGGTTTGTGCTAGTCATCTGGTGCTGGACGGACAAGGTCATCTGGTGCTGGACGGACAAGGGATGGTTTAGGGGGGGGGGGGAGACTATGTCAGGTGACCATTCCCCGCTGCGGACTTTCAGGCACCACCGGCTCTGGTGTGCCTTAGGCCGCCAATCTTTGCCTCCAACTGAGGGCAGGGGAGGCGGCTTTTCTCTCAGCATCCTCCACCAATAAATTAACCATCCACCATCTCAAGCCGGATGCTGACCTCTCGGCTGGAGGAACCGGGCTGCAGTAGTTGCAAGCAGGGTTCCTTTGACCGCACAACGATGTGATCTCACGTTTGTTCTTCCGTCGATAGCCAGACACGGCACAGCCGTTGGCCCCCAATTGAGGCTTTTTGTTTAGTCGAAGTCTGTATACGAAAGATGCTACCCTCTACGCACTATAGCGACCTTTTGTAGACTGGTTCGGCGCTAGATAGGATGAGACGGCACACGCCGGAGTCCGGTCCCGGGTCCTTCGCTTGTGTGCAGGCATACTCGTAGTAGACGTCCAGGGTGCCAGCATCCCCAAAGGTGAGTTGATGGTCAATCAGTCAGCATCTACCCGCACGCTGTGTACGGAGTACGCCTCACGGTCACACATTCCAGCCATTGACGATGACACGCAGTCGACTGACTTCATGAGCAGCATCAATTGCCATGAACCTGGAAGACTCAAAGTTGAGCGTGAGGTGCAATTGCCGACCACCGCATTCACTGCCGTCGTCGACACGAACCATGGGACGGGGTGGTTACCGCTTGTTGTGGCCTCCAAGCCTAGGATCAACCTGGCTCACTGTTGATCTGCGCCGCAAGACGGGATAGCAGCACCTGGAGGACCGTCTGAGCCAGACACTAGTGCCGACTCGCCTGATGGACCGACCACCTCCTCTGCCCTCGCGCGACAAGCATTGTGTGTCACAACGATCGGCGGCGGCCTACCAAGGGTTGACACTCAGCATTTTCGGTATCGTGACCTCCCGGCTCCCGGTCCACTGCCCCAGACCTGGTCTCCCCTTGCATTCGCGACGGTCGGGAATTAATGACATTTATGGTTTGCGCATGGGATCTGCCTGTCCTTGCGGGGTTCACCCATCTTATCCATCGGGGGGTAGTTGTTTGGTTGTAATGAGCCAGACAGTCGAAAGCAAGGATGCAGTCCTGAGAGTAGAAAACCCCATTAGGATCGGGAATGGACAATCGCACGAACTTTAATGCTGGGGATAGATCCCAATGAGATCACTTGGAAACCAAGCCCAGCGTCACAGGAGGGAGGCTCGTGCACGGAAACGAACAAGCTGCAAGTCGGGATCAAAGAGGCAGCGTTCCCCATGATCCATGATCATGAAACCACAAGGCTTTTGGGTCGTGAAGTAGGTGGGTGGGTGGAAGGAATGGGGCTAGTTGTTGCAAAACATAGAGACCAGGAAGCAGAAAAGAAAGATAACTAACCGTGTAACTAATGGACCCTTTGCATCAGACCATGGGGTGTGCATAACCCCTGAGCCACGATCGGCAGTGGAGGATGACTGGTTCAGGGGGGGCGAAGATGACGGACTGATCGCTCACTATGATCGGAACCAGTTTCGCCTCTAGAAAACTCAAGAATTCCCCTGGAATTATATTGTCTTCGTGATTGGAGGGGAGGGAGGTTGGACAATCAGGGGTAATGATTATAGTACGGAGTAGATATTTAAAAATAAGTCGTCAAACACTGATGGAGATAGTCTACCAAACATAGTCAGTCTCCTGATGCTGGGAGTCGTCACAGTGCGTAACTTACGTCCAGTAAGGACTGTTCGAGATAGTTGTATGGTGGATTGCATGGTTGCAATGATCCAGACCGAGCCAGAATGGCCATGGAAGCATGAGTGAACCACCAGCCTCACTATAGTTGCCCGTAATTATGATTGGTGTGCACAGTCTGTGTACTGTACAGTCCGGGAGTAGAGTCTGTGAGAGTCATGCAGAACGCAATGTTGGATGTGAGAACCAATCACCGTCCACTGGATGGGGCAGGGTTCGTGGATCTTGACAGGAAATTCATCCCATAAAAACCCACACGAGGCTTCATTTGGAGATGCTTTCCTCTTTCTGTGTCTTGTCCGTTGCGAGGATTGCAGGGGAAGGCAAAAGCACTAAGTTCACGGACAATAAAGAATAATAAAGAATAAACAAGGCAATCAACTCAGTTCCATGTTCCAATTCCACCACCTAAATATCCCAACTCGGACTAGTGTTGGTTCCTTAGGCTGACGGCGACGGGATCAAACCGTCCAAACCGTCCAAACCAGACCCAAACCAGACCCAAAACAGAGACGCTCCCCCAAATCCCAGATAGTCTAACGAAAAAAAAGGACTGGACAAACCGACCAGCTCAAAACTAATTCGACTATTAGTATTTTGGATGGGCCTTTTCCACCCAACCCAATCCCCCCCCTCCTCTTCTTTTGTTGACAATGAGTGGTTCCTGACCGACTTACTTCCCTTTGGTGTTCCTGCTCCCTCCTCAGTATCCATGCGTCTCTAACCCAGAGACTTTATTCCCCCTCCCCCATTCTCCAGATCGTCTCTTCTATCGTACCCATTCACCATCAATCTCCGGGGGTGAAAAACCACATTGGTTTTCTCATTCGACTTCTCTCAATTCAATTTCTCTCCAGTTTGGGAGCGGTCTCTCCGTTGGTCAGTCCAATGGTCTAACCACTCGCGAACGTTGCGTGTGCCGTCTGGTATCATAGACCCCGTGAGATTACCGTGCCCAGCATGGCTCCCAGCATGGATATGGGCTTTTTGCCCAAGATCAAATGCTCCAATTGCGGGATCGATGTTGAGATCTCCGCCATGGGAGACCATGTGTGTGCCAAAACAGATCCAGGTAGCAACTCTCCCCTACTTGACGCGTCATGTACCACTTTTTAACTTCTTAAATGGTAGTTCCCCCACAATCACCGCCTCGTCCGCCTTCGAAATCGAGCATTGGATCACCACCCAAAGCAGGCAATGCGTGGGCTGCCAGAGCTGCGAGGATGAATCCTCCGCCACGCATTGATCCTTTGGTAGCCAGTATGTTGTTCCTCCAGACCTGACGACAAAACCACCACTTTCTCATCAATGATACCACTTTGCAGATCGGCCGTTCCTGCGCCCGCACAGTCCCCTAGACAACAAAGACCTCCTCGTCCCCTCTCCTCTCTCCACCGCTACTTCAGGCGGGCCACGCTCGCCGTTGCGTCCGCTTCAACGTAGCCAGACCTCACCTCTGCCAGAAGAACCACAATCCCCAGACTCAATCAACATGGAAACTGCATTTGCCTCGTTTCCTCTGCCCCGATCGATGTCGGATAGACGTCCAAACGTCGGCCCAGACGCCATGGGAGCAGGAAGGGTTGCTCCTCTCCAGCCAGCACGTCATGCCAGCAGCTTGAGTCGAGATGGTCAGAACGCACCCGTTGAACTGCCGGCAGATAACGAAATTCCACCTCCTCCACTACCTAAAGACGGCCCTCCTCTCCCCGGCGCCTCCCACAGATATGGTGCATCGATTGATAGCAAAAGCAGCTATCGAACCTCGGTGGCTAGCACGCGGTACAGCGACCATCGGGCCTCCAAACGATCGGCCTCCATGTCCAGCCGGCGCCCCTCGTTTGGCAGCGTATCCCGCGAACACCTACAATTCATTGACGAAGAGGCACCCCCGGTGCCGCCCCCAGCACCTCAGAATCTGCTACTTCCAGCACGACTCTCGGGAGCCGAGCTTGCCGAGAAGCCGGAAGGACGAGGTGAAATCTACAGTGGATTTGATTTCGGTGTGTCAGCGCGGCCAACGAGTGCCAAGGCTGAGATCGATCATGTTGGGGCCGGGTCGCTTCGAGTATCGTCGCACACAAATCGTAGCTCTGACAGACTGAGTAGTAACCGCGGGTCCGCGGAGCTGTTCTTCCAAAGTCCTACCCCGAGTCCGAATGAGGCTCCCGTTGATTTTGAGCTTCCAGACGAGCCAGCAGCGTCTCCTGCCGCCCCGTCCAGCGTGGAGTACAAGGCTTTCAAACCAGTAACTTCGGAACACCTGCAGCCGGCCGATGCTGAATCCGCAAGTACTCCAGAAGAAGGCAACAAGCAAAGGAAAGATTCCGATTCCGCAAGCGAGAGCAACATCTCAGTTTCCAACTTCGCCCGGGCTCTTGGGCTCGATGTTCCGGATCATGCCGCCGAGAGCTCAATCACGTCGTCGGATTCATCGCCATCTGACACTCACAGCGGCACTTCCTTCTCTAGTCTACCGTCTGACGCCAGTCTCTCGCGGAGGCAACCTTCGGACCCCAGCCGCCTCGGCTCGGTGGTAGAAGAGCTCAAGGGTGGCCCGCGCGCGAAGGAACCCGTGCTGGACGAGCCTGTCACGGAAAGTCCGATTGATCTCGAGCCTCCTCGCATTACGGAGCACCTCTTCAGCCCGGATTCGCCGACTGACCCAGCCATCTCTCAGGGGAGCTTATCGCTCGTGTCGGAGAAACTGCCACGAAAAGCAGACGATCATCAGCCCGAGCGACCCACTATGCTCCGCTCTGTGACGGCACCCGCCCCATCCCCGGCCCCGGCCCCTCGCCCGTCCCCACGCCCGAAGGGGCCTTGTCGCGGTTGCGGTGAGATGATCTTGGGCAAGTCCGTGTCCTCGGCCGACGGCCGTCTCACCGGCCGGTACCACCGTGCCTGCTTTGTCTGCTTTCAGTGCAAGACCCCTTTCCAGACTGCGGATTTCTATGTCCTTGAGGACCGACCTTTCTGCGCTCAGCATTACCATGAACGCAACGGCTCCCTCTGCGCTACATGTCACACTGGTATTGAGGGGCAATATCTTGAGACGGACGAACGTCGCGGCCGCGGTCCGGGCGACCGTCAGAAGTTCCATCCGGAGTGCCTCAAATGCCGCACATGTGGCATTGCTCTGAACGGGGACTATTTTGAGTGGTATGGTCAGGTTTACTGCGAGCGCGATGCTCGACAAGCAGCGGCTGCATCGATGGCTCCCCCTCGGCCCCCTCGCTCGCCCATGCCCATGTCTCCGATGGGACCCCCTGGTGGTCGTGGCTATGGACCACCTCCGGGGTACGGTGGTCGCGGTCGAGGCCGACCGCCTCCTGGCCCTCGTCCTGGCTCCTCTGCCAGCCAGGCTCCTCCCATGCCCATCCCAATGCTGCGTCCTCCAGGGCCTGGGGACGGGCCATATGGAGCCATTGGAGCCCTTCCCAGCTCTCGACGATTCCCTGAACGACGCACCACCAAATTGATGATGATATGATTATAAGTACATTGATGGACGTGATTCCAGCCAACATTCGTAATTTCTAGTTTTCCTCACTCGAGAGGGACCCTCGTCTCATGGTTTTCACTGTTCGTCGCTCAAGCCTTGCCCTTTACTGCGATGACCCTAGACTCTCTTTGCTTTATACCCTTTTCGTGGTTTTCATGTTGATAGAATATTGGTTTCTCGATACCATTGTGTTTCCAGCTGCCTGGCGTTTAATGCCACTGGCTGACTGCTGTCGTTTTCTGTCTACATATTGACATGTACTATATGATGTCTATCTGGAATAGTGCTGTGATATACAGTGAATTGTGTTCTTATTATGGATACTGGTGATGCGAGCGTGATTGCGAAGCATGTTAATAGCGAAGCACGTATGTGCTGAGCCCTACGAACTGGCCATCGGGGGACGAGTGATCAACTACGCTAGTAAGGGATGAAAGCCTTTTGCAGTATATATACAAGCAAGTGAGTAAGGCCTCTCGCAACACCTCTGCAAGCAAGCACACGTACAAGTAAGCAAGGAAGGCTTTATAAAGCATCTTTTCCACAGATCAGATGATTATGTAGTCTTGTTTATAATTGTCATCGACTTAAAAGTTTCTGTAGAAAATGAATGGTTCGATGTATAAGTTGTATATAAAATTAGCAGCTGTTCCGGAAGTGCGTCGCCTCCTCTTTTAGGCATTATTCTTATCTGGGACAATGCAGAGGAATTGTACCTTTCTTTGTTGACCTATAATACCATACTTGCATTGAATTGCTTATTCTAGAATGATGATTGAATCTAGCCATACCTCGCTTTTTCCTTTTGTGTTCTGCATCTCCAACTTCATGTGGCTTTCCACCCTGACCCTTCCTCGTCCCCTCGCCCAGCTCCAACTCTTATTTTAGGTCCCTTCTTAGCAACCAACAATACATATCCCACAAGTTCTGTATCAGAAAGAGTCCATTCACAAAATAGATCTAGTTCATCCATTACATAAAACCCGGAGAACACCCAACGGAGAGCAGCCAGCAACACCATGCTCCCCCCCCCCAATCCCC